GAGGAAAAGTACTTTTTCCTCGTAAGCTCCTCCTAAATTTACTAAGGTCTTACGAGGAAATTGTTTCCTCGTAAGTTTTCGAGGAGCTTACGAGGAAATTTGCTTTCCTCGTAAGATCCTAGTAAAGGCTTAGTAAATTTACGAGGAAGAATTTTCCTAGTAAAATTTCCTAGTAAATGCTTTGTTTTCTTGTAGTGACATAATATAAGTCATATAATTAATTGATTCGTATTAATTAAATTAAACCAACAAAATTAATGTAAAAAGACGACCTTAATGTAAACTACCTTCAAAATACGACAGATATCTATGTGTATACCAAAAACACATATTCTCCTACAAATATAGAATGTTCTAAGAGAATATATATCATCAAAATATGGAATATGGAAATCTACTAATTATACTTAAATTAAACCAGTGGTTATTTATGGAATATAATTTTGGGCTTACTTATATTTTTTGAACAAATTATATAGTTTGTTTTTGCGCTTAGTATTAAGAAAAAACTCCAAAAACATTGAATAAACTTTTCACCTTAAAAGATCAAAAAATAAATTATTATTTTCAGACCCAAAAGGTATTTAATATTTTTAACTAAACAAAATTATCCATTATTAATCATTTATTTAAATCATGTACTTTAAAACATGTTAATATATTTTTTTGTTTTAAATAACAATCACTTTGTTTTGATAAATTTCAATGGTAACTTTTAAATAATTTATTGTTTTATTTTTCTTAAATAATTTACTGATTAAAAAAATGTAAAACAAAACCAAAAACCAAATCTAAAAACTTAAATCCAAAACCAAAAGCTAAAAACACATATTATATTTTTTTGCTTTGTTTATTTACAAAATAAACTATTTCATTTTTTTTTAAATTTGTTTTCATCTTTTCAGTTTTAAATTAGATGTTCGATTATTTGAGATTTGTTTGTTGGTAATATTTGTTCAAACTAACTCTGCGGATTTAAAAATTAAAAACCCAAACCAAAAACTGAAAATGAAAAGTAGAAACTTAAAAATTAAAAACCAAAATCCAAAATCTAAATATAAAAACTGAAACTAAAAACTAATGAAAAACAATCATCACCACAAATTTTGGTAAACTGATTTTATATCAAAATATTATTTAAATTATGACAAAACCCAATTATATAAATTTTTAATCATAAAAAATTTCCGCACTTTTAAGCGCGGGTCAAAATCTAATGTATGGTTATGGGCAGGAAGATGGCCAAGACATTCGAACACAAAATAATCATATTTAGATCAATGGCTTTCTATTGTAGTTTCTACTAAATATCATGATTCTTTCTTAGTTGTATTCCTCTTTTTATTAGTTTAGATTGTAAAACGATTAGTACATATCAAAATTAAGGCACCACAAAAATTGTTGAATCTTTTTCCCATACATAACAAAAACGCTGTGTTTTGGTTCAATTGTGTTTGTTCCCATCTTTTTCATCTGCGCTGCTGTTCTTTTGGAGTCTTGTTCTCCCCCGATATCTGATTTGCAAAAAAAATGTCGTGTACGCATGATCACAACTGCGAAGATCACGAGTGTTCCTCCGATTGGTCACTCTACAAGCACATCGATCTCTCCAAGGTCTCTCTCTCTCTCTCTCTTTTCGCTCTCCTCTGATTTAATTAGGGTTTTCCAAAATTCCATCTGAAACAAGATATAACTTGGGTTTCAGGTGTCTGCTCTAAACGAGTCTGTCTCGGGGAGTGTTAAATCAGTCTTCAAAGCATGGGAACAGCGGTTACTTTCTTCTGGGGTATTTACTTATGTTTTTGCATCTTTTCTTCAAGTAACATTTGTTCTAATGGACAAAACATATGGTTATCCTTAAAAAAGCCTACCCTTGTTTGGTTAATACGGATTATTTTAGTTTATATAAAACTCTGTGCGTGAAAGAACTTGTGTGTTTTGTCTTCCTTACAGGAGCATTTGGAGAGCAATGAAGGAGACCCTGAATTGCTTGTCTTTGTACCGTAAGTCATAGTTATTGATTTGTTAGAATTAGATACTATGAAAATTATTTTTAAGTACTTTTTGGTGTGCAGCTCAATTTTTGTCCATGTTGTTGTTATATGAATGTTGTAGATTTACATCAGACGTCAAGATCAAGAGCATATCAATTGTTGGTGGTCCTGATGGAACAAGTCCTTCTAAGTTGAGAGTGTATGTCTATAGACTATAGTGTTTCACAAAACATTTCTTGTATTTTGCATACTGTTTTTCTTTGTTTTGGGAAAATTATAAAGTTGATTGTTGTATCAAAAATTGTAGGTTCATCAATCGTGAAGGGATTGACTTCTCAGACGCTGAGAGCATGCAAGCAGTTCAGGTATTCCCTTGTGAGTAACAAAAATACCAAAAACCATGTGCACTACTTATGCAGAAACATTTGTGAGTACTTTGAAGGAATGGGAGTTAGCTGAAAATTTGCAAGGAGTCTTAGAATACCAGACCAGGTATTTCACTACACATTTTCATCTGTGTTGCAGTAGACTCTGCAGAGTTAGTTATGTAACGAATCTTGAGAAGTTGAACATTATCATTTGAATGCTTTTCTTTCAACTGGTTAAAAGTGTAGATGGGTCTGATTACAGTGAAACCGTGTAGGTATTCGAAATTCCAGAGTGTTGGGAACATCACATTGCATTTCCCTGAGAGTTTTGGAGGTGACACAACCCAAATAAGCTATATCGGTTTTAAAGGTGAAGCAACCCAGGTAAAGTGTGGATACAAAAATGCTGCTAGTCCTACTATTATATGGTATTTGGTAGTTGTTTAAGTTTGGTACCTATGGTCTTAACAGTTGAAAAGGGATGTGGTTGCAACGATTGTGTATGAGATAAGACCGAATCCTTCAGATCACAAGTAAGCCTAAATCTTAACCACATTACTCTTTTTTATTCTTATCTGTATGAAGATCCTTCAATTGCAAACATTGTCTCTTTTGTAGGACAAAGGCTGAGACTGGTGGAGGTTTCTCACAAGTTGAGTGAAGATACTATCTCTGCTTCCAACTTCACTCCTTAGCCTTTTCACATACTTATGTTTACTCAGCAAGCTTTGGCCTATATTAACAAACATATATGTATCGAATAAAATTAGGCATGGAGACTTGTTAAGTGTGGAATCTTTTACTACACTTATGTTTGAATTTTTATACAATGAACTCTATTTTATTGTGCCTAATTGTGCCAGAGATAAGAGCGGTTTTATAGTTTATGAAAAATATAACTAAAAATAATCAAATATTTCTTTCATCAATAATTTCATAAGTATTTATAACGAAAATCACCTAGTTATACAGTTAAACTTGAATCAGTATGTACGTTTTGTGACGGAGATACCTCAGGAGAAAGCATACTTTTGGTCTCGTCTCGCCTAGTGATTTGATAAATGCCACACAAGCTCGGTCAGAGTTTATATCTGGATTCAAGACATAGTTTGTGTAATCAACTGTAAGTAGACAGCGCACACAGAGTAACATTAACCATTATCTCAAACATAAAATAAAAAAAATTGTAAACTAAAACGTCACAAACATTAAGAAATCCTCAGAGAAACAAAAACGAAAGAGCAAGGAAGCATGAATTGTATAACAGGTGAAATTTATCCATAAGCATCATCAACTCTTTGGGGATGCCTTAGGCGGTCCAGCAGGTGGAGCAGTCTGCGAAGCCGGCGTACCTCCACCACCACTACCAGGAGCGGTGGTTCCAGCAGATCCATCAGAAGAGTAACCGCCAGCAGCTGGAGGTTGTGTGTAACCTCCATAAGACCCATATCCCTGAGGTGCTTGACCATACCCATATGCCGGAGGCTGTCCATAACCAGATGCAGCTGGTTGTGCATACCCATAGCTCCCAGGAGCACCAGGAGACTGCTGATTCTGAGCATAAGCCGGTGGTTTTCCAGCTGGTGGTGGTGCTCCATATCCAGAACTGTAAGCCGTTGGTGGCTGGCTGCTGTAACCAGCTTGAGAAGTCGGAGCAGCTCCATACCCTGCTTGACCAGTGCTACCCTGAGTAGGCTCTTGTCCAGACGGAGCCGATGATGCCGGAGCAGCTTGAGATGTATCTTCCTCTTGACCCGGGTTAGTGGTGCTGCCGTAACCACCCTGTTGCTGGTCATACCCAGCTTGGCCATATCCTGATTGCTGCGAGGCACTATAACCTCCATACCCATCTTGCTGGTATCCCTGAGCGGCTTGGCCATAACCCTGGTAGTAATTGTACCCTGTAGGGTCTGTTGGTGGAGCTGAGCTTCCACCAGTGTTTGGCGCATGTGACTGTTGCTGACCGTAATAATCATAATCACCTTGTGCGCCCTGCTGGGATGGTGGCACAGAGGATTGATCCCAGGTGGAGGCGTACCCAGCTGAAGTTTGTTGAGGGTAACTTGCGTAAGGTGACTGACCATACTGAGGTGGACCCGGATACGCTCCCTGTTGCATGTAACTGTACTGTTGTGCTGGCGGACCACTAGGTGGTGCCCAGCTTGATGGTGGGCGGGCTTGGTAACCTTGTTGTTGATAGCCTCCACCCATTGATGAGTTTCTCATACGGTTCTGCATAAAACAATCCAATGATATAATCTTAGATCTTCAGGGAAAACAGAAAAAAGGCAACAATACAACATAAAAACACATGAACACAGATGCAGAAACAGATAAACAGATAAAATACTGTAGATCAAGAGAGGCCTACACAGTTTTCATTTACCAATATCTGTCCATACAGGATCAACCAAGATCATATCATACTCTAGATGGGTATTGTGATGCCTACATACCGTACTCATTGGTGAATTTATTGGGTTACTCCTGCAGAAGCCCATCCCTTTCCCTATCCGAGGTAAAATAGGTGCAAGAGAAACCACGAATACTATAGAAGCTTTTGCAGATAAAAGCAGCATATATATAAATGAAACCTATATTTTCATAGCAAGATAATCTAACACAGACTAAAGAATGCTGTTTCAACAATATAAATACTCATGGAAACAAATTAGCAGAGTCTGTGGGATGAGTACGAGTACATTACGGCTGGAAGGTTTTGCGAAAAAAACAATCCAGGAAGAGTTGAGGCAAGTAGGAATGTAGGATAGTAACAATTCTAGGTTAGCAAAATATTTGACACGAGAAAATGGCTAATTGGTCTTCACAGGTTAGTCGCCCACCTTTGGTGATAGCCTGATGACTGTAACAAGAAGTTACAGCTGAAAAGAAGTGATTGTTGACAAAGGAAATTCGTGCAGGGTAATAAAACGAATATAACATACATTATACAAAACTAAAACCCAAATATCATCAGAGAGATAACAGTTTTATAAAATACTATAACATTCAGGTCAAACTGGAAATGTCCGGCAACCTCACAAAGGGTACCGAAACCAGTGTCGGATAAGCTAGCTTCGGTGTGACAAGAAGCGATGAAACATAATGTCTGCATAAACTCCATAACATAGACAAGAGAATTCTCTATTACGGAAAATATCATTTCACAGTCAATATGCCGAGAATATATCTCTTGGTGACAAGGGAAGTTAGAAAGAACCATGCTAAAGCACATTGTACATTTATATTGAAAAGTGGATGCAAGAAAAGGCCGATAAAAACTTTTAAAAGTAAGATAGAAACAGTGGCAAGAAATTAGTGGAGGAAGGTACTGGATAACAATGAACAGGGGTAGCAACATATAATCGCTTACAACTCTAGTAACAAGATGAAAGTAAGGATTATCAAAATAAATTATCATTTTGCAAGTCAACAAAATCACAAGATTGTGAACCTTCCCCTGCAAATAAGCGGAAGAGAAGAACTATGGACTTCATTTATGCAGTTATCATGAAATGAAGGCATAAGAGGAATATAGCTCACCATGAGTAATTTAGCTGCTAATACATTGACTACGTGACACTAGTCCAACTATATCACCTAGAATTATATCCCATCAGATTTTAAGAATTATTTTGTCTTAACATCTACCGGTTAAGGAATGTGCTAGGTAATCCTAAAACTGATGACAAATGAATGATGCAATCACAACACAGAATCAATTCCATGTACAAAAATAGACGGTGCAGAAGCCTGCCACAGTCCATAGCAAACACAACAATCAAACATACCTCGCCACTGATGATTTCATTAACTAATTGTTTCGCATGTTCAATCTGATCGGAGGTTCCATCAATCTGCAAAGTTCTCTCTGGAGTAGGGTCTCCAGGGGGCAAATGCAAAGGAATAACCTGCAAACAAACAATTAAAAACAGGTTTAAATAACATTCACCACAAAACAGATGCTTGATTATATGAGGTAGCGTCACAAACCTGAATCCGAGCTCCAGTATTAGCTTGCATAGACTTGATTGTCTCACCTCCTTTACCAATCACCAAACCAACCTAGAACAGCTTAAGGTTACATACAAGACACACCTTACATAAACATCTCAATCTCCAGAACATTAACTACCTTATTATTAGGAATCTTCATAACAAACTGATCAGCTCCCGGCTGTCCACCCATCCTACGAGAGCCTCCTCCACCTAAACCACCACCAGCTGCACCACCAGTCTCAGCCTAAAAACCAAAAATCATCACATATTAGTAACCACTTTCTACACACAACTGGCACAAAAAGAGTAATAGGACTACCTCTTGAAGGACTTCATTGATCAACTCCTCAGCTCTAGAGATCTGATCCTGCGTCCCAGTAAGGTCAACAGTCCTCGTCGCAGCGTTAGGATCCGCATCCATATCCCTAGTAACCTGAATCTTAGCTCCAGACTGAAGCTGAAGAGACTTAATCGTCTCCCCACCTTTACCAATAATAACACCAACTCTCATATTCGGAATATCAATCTTCTTCGTCGTCGCCGTAAAGCTTCCGTACGAAACAGGTATCGAAGACGGAGGGGCCGCGTTTGACCTAACATCTAAAAATCAAAATCAAACAATCAATAATCGAACCGAATAAAGATTAAGGAAGATTATAATTCATCTCAACGAACCGGAAGGGTAAGAGCTAAAGCCTTTGTCACCGTAATCGTAAGAAGAGACGTTGTTGTTGTTATCGACGCGAGGACGTTTGGCTTCGGCGCTGTTGAGGAGACGAGCGGCGATCTCTTGAGCTTTTTGTTTAGCGATCTGGATCTCGTCCATCGGAGGAGGGACGCTGTTGTAGGAAGACGGAGGAGGAGGAGCGGAGGAGGGATCTGGAGAAGGGGATGGGATCGGGCCGGAGGAGAAGCCGGTAGGTCTTCGAGGAGGAGGAGGAGCGGTTTGCTCTTCGTATTTGCGCTTGTTGGAGTATTGAGATTCGTCGGCCATGGTTTGGGAGTTAGATTCGGTAGAAACCCTAAGAGGCGGAGATAAGGAGACGAAAAGAGTGAGGGTATAAAATATCCACACGCGACTATATAGTATTTGAGGACAATTTTTTTGTTTTTTTTAAACCTTCGCGTATTACAGACTCAGGTTGTAAGTTTGGACTTTTTTTACTTTAAAATTAAGTAGTAAATTTTATTAGAGTACATATATTTAAGGTTTAAAAACATTAAACACAAAAAAATTACAAAAAAATGAATATTTTAAAAAAATTGGCATGTAGTTTTTTTTAATATAAATTGATTGATGATTTTTGTTATTGTAGTGCGAATTGAAACTCAACATAGAAGTATAGCCATCATGAATCACTCTCTAAACAACAATTTCATTTCTCTAATAAACTTGAGTAAGATCTGGCCAACCAATTTAATCTTATTAATTTCATGTAAATTTAAATATATATGAAACTATATGATCTATTGTTTAAACTTTGAATGTTATATATTATAACTTAATCTTGATTTTAAATTTGGTTTATAATTAGAATTTTAAGTATTGCATTATATTTTGATACGTTCTTTGAAACAGTATTTTGTGACTGTTGTACATTATTATTATTATGTTGTAAAATCCGAAAGAGTAATACTGAAGTTCTCAAAACACTAAGGAATAAAACCACTAATAGGGGTGGGCATTTTATCTGATACTCGAATTCGTATTCGAACCCGATTCAAAATGTCTAAACTGAAATTCGAACCGAAGTAGTAAAATACTCAAATAGATATTGAGTTATGAGAGTTTGGATATCCGAAGATAATTGAACATATGTATATATATATCTATTTTATTCTTAGTTTATTTATTTCATTTTATTCAAAATATTTATATTAGTGTTGTATATAGCTTAAAATCAGATAATATACATATAACTTAAAAATGATTTGCTATTTATTTAAAATGCATGTTTAACTTTTTATTTTATGTCTTTAACAAAAGTTTCATCGAAAATTTGAAAAGAACAACCAGATTAATAATTTTCTATTTTCAATAATTCATTTTTAAACTCAGTAATCGTATAAGTATTTAAAAACAGTTAAGTTAATAGTAAAATTTTAAATACATAAAACTTAAACAATGAAGAATTTGAATTTTTTTCTTTCAAAATCTAAATATCCGATACCAGACCCGGAATAACCGAACCCGAATTTAAAATATCCAGACCCGACCCGATATATTAATATACCCGAACGAGTGCTAGACCCCAATACTGAAACACCCGATCTAAACCCGAATGGATACCCGAACATGTATCCCTAATCACTGAAATTGTTGTTGGCTAAAACAAGTGTATCAAGATCCACCAATTCACATATTTTCCTAGGAATCTCTCCTGAAAACCAATTATCAGAGGCTAAAAAACCTTGCATATCTCGGTAAATGAGAAAATGGATCATGAAAACTGTTTGAACTTATATCAAGCATTGCTATTTGACTTTGTTGAATAACATCTGATTTTCATGAATTTTGAGATAAATCAAGATACCCTAGTCCTGGCAGTCTCCATAAACACTCTGGTACTTGCCCCTGTAATTGATTTGCAGAAATGTTTAAGGAGAATAAACCGGTTTGTGTTAGTGGAATCTTTGGAAACTCAGAGATATTGCATGATGATAAAGCCAACAATCCTATGGATGAGGGAAGACGGAGAGTTGAATTGATATGTAAATTATTCCCTGAAAGGTCAAGTAAAGTAAGTGAAATGGTATTTGAGAAAACACTCAAATCAAGTGTACTTCTTGTATTCAGATGGGAGACGTCAACTTGAGATGCAAGAAGATGCTGAAATCCACTATGCCCCTCTCAGTGTTCCAAAAAAGAGGTCGAGATATAAGAGCCCAACTAGTTTTGATATAGATCCTCGGATTGGCCCACTGAGATCATTTCTTCCAAGGGATTATTCTTGAAGTTTGGATGGTGAAGAGATATTCCCAATCTCAATAGGGCCACTGAAGCTGTGTTTTTTTCAGGTTAAAACGAGTCAACGATGGTATCATCAAAGTATTCCAATTTGGAGAAGCTACTCATGTTAGATGGGAGCATACCTACAAACCTCAAACTGGTTAGAACTAAAGTCCATCGCCGTGAGCTCACTCAAATTGAGTAGTGCATGATGAAAGTTCCCACTAAGCTTGCTCGTTCCAAGTAGCAACTTTGTTAGTTGGTTTAGGTTGCTCAATGATTCTGGTAGTTCACCAGAGAAATCATTACTATCAAGATCAAGATGAATGAGATAAGAAAGATTTCTGAAAGATAAAGGAAGCTTTCCAAAGAATCTGCATCCATAAAGTTTCAAAACCTCAAATATTTGAGGTTGCCAATGAAATCCGGTAGAATACCCACAAAATTATTGGAGCTAAGATTAAGGCTCTGAAGATATTGTAGTTGAAACAGACTACAATTAGATCTCAAAGGGCCATTGAGAGAACTTCCCCAGAGATCTAACTCAACCACCTTGCCCGTCTTAACATCACAAGAGATACCATCCCAAGAACAGCAATCAGTGTTGTTTGTCCACCTCTGTGTCTTCTCACCAGCAGACATTCCACTGAGATAGAACTCGCTCTTGAACTCCAAAAGAGCATCCTTCTGGTGTGGACGACACATTTTTTAGCAGGAGAAGCAAACACAACTATCATTTTTCTCTCACTACAAGCAGGGGCGGACCCACGTTAGAGAGAGTGGGTTCACTTGACACCAAAAATATTATATAAAAACGTTTTTGTAGGCTATATACATAAGTTTTTAGTGGCATATTTGGTTGAGAGAGGTATGAATGAACCCACAAACTGGGGTTCAATTCCCCTTGAAGACCTTTTATATTTTTTTTGACCCCACATATATATTTTTCTGGGATCGCCACTGACTACAAGAATGCATCGTATTTGTTTTTTGTTGTTGCTTTTTCTGTGAAACGAAAGAATAGTGAAAGCTTGTTTAAACAAGTCTCCTGTCAAGACTTTTTTTTAAGAACCAAGTCTCCTGTTTAAGACTTAGGGCATCTCCAACTCAACTCCATTTTTTACTCTAAAATGGAGTAAAAGAGAATATGGAGTAGAAAACACTCCAATACTACTCCATATTTTACTTCATAATAGAGTTTACTCCATAAATGGAGTAATCTGTTTTTTGTTTGTTCATCACTCCATTATGGAGTGGAAAATGGAGTGGGGTTGGAGCATTTTTACTCCATATTCTCTTTTACTCCATTTTAGAGGAAAAATTTTACATTGGAGATACTCTTAGTTGATGAATGGTCCACAACGTTTTTATACGTTACAGAGTAATCCCGAGTGACAAACAACGTATTTTTTTTCTCCCGTGTGTAGTGGGTTAAGTCAATTACCAAAACGCTCTGTAGCCTATGAAGATTCCTTTGTTCCCCGTGACAGTGAAAATGACAATGACCCCTCTACAAGGACAAGTCTTTGCCATTGCAAAATTAACCTCTAATTTGCATCTTCCTTTTCTTTTAATTTGAAACCACTCCGTAATAGACTAGAGCCTAGATCTGGTGCCTTTCACCAACTACCATAGGCCAATAGCAACATGCTTGAAAGGGAATCAGTCAATGTACTCATTATTTAGCATTCAACTATGTTATTATTTGTTTCCCCACAAGATATTAACTTTGGAACAGTACTATGAATCTATGATACAAAAAACAAAACAAATAATATATTGAATGAGATCTCTTTTACAAAATCAAACAGGATTAATATGTATCATCTCCCAGTGCCTACACCACTGGCCACATAAATCTAATTTTACAAAAAAAAGGATCTTGTGGTATCTGGTCTATATATATAACTTCAGTATAAAAGTGGTACATGAGACAACTACAATAAGAATCAGATAACGTAATGAATTATGAAGTCATCTTACCCCTGTTCAGCTCCAAGGAGGTTGGAACTGTGAGACCATATATTCCGTAGAATTGTCGCAACACAAACTACTGGTCAATGTCATCAGGAGGCAATGTCGGACTCTTGGAGCAAATTTCCATCTCGTGAAGCTCCTTTAACCGAGACTCCGGGTTACAAAGTCCTTAAAGATTGTAGAAGAAAAATGTTGGTTCTTGTGAATGCTATTATTAAGTGAAGAAGAAACCATATTTAAGTATACCTGAGCATTTGGGAATGTCCCAGACTGCTATGGACTTTGGGGAACAACGAGACTCGCATAAAGCACGGTTGTCCTCATGATGTACATCCATTGCAATCATCCAAGATCCAATGGTTACATCTTCATTGTTAAACATCCTCAAGCTGAAACGAAAAGAAAAAAGACCGATAATGAGATTTGTAATATCAGAATCTATAAGTGAGGATAAAACAAAATAAAAAAGCATTTCAAACCTGCCGTTCCGAGCTGCTGCAAGTGAAGCCACTATCTCGGCTGAAAGAACGTAGATCGGTCCATAAGCATGTAAGAAATATTCATTTCCAATCAAATTCCCCTGTTTCTCGTACCTGACAAATTCAATATCTGTCACAAAAGCTGATATAGAAATACCACAGTGGGTGAACTGTGAAGAGAAGGCTATCTAATACCATTTGAGTTTAGGGTTAGTTATAACTGGCCCTTTCTTCATACAACCAATGTAAGTCTGTGAATGAAGTCTTTCTTTGGCAAGAAGCGTCCCAAGGCGATCTGGTCTCAAGTAAATGTCATCGTGGGCTTTGACATAATAGTCAGCTTCAAAGAGTTTATAAGCTGCTTTGAAAAAGGCCAACCTATAAAAGAGGAGAGAGATGAATGAATAAATCATCAGTCATTGATCAAATAGAGAGGAGGGGTTCTTTTATTTACGTTTTATAAGGAAGTCGTAGATACTCTTCCTCAACATCATCAAGAAGCACAAAATCTCTGTGTTGTTCTATCTCTTTTTCAAGCTCAGCCATCTTTTTTGCATCCTTTGACCGTCCAATGACAAATCTAAAAGCTAATCCAGTCGCTTGTTCCAACCTAAGTTCCAGTCATCAAACAAAACAATATTGGATTTAAATCCTAAATAACCAGATAAAAATAGAGTCAAGCAAAGTAATCTCAGTTAATCCTCATTGGCTTTAAATATCTAACCAATTGTTCTAAATATTGGTCTAGGCAGCAACTAGACGCCCGCAAATCGGACTTGACGTTTTTTTTCTTAAAGTAGGTCTAGGCGTTCAAGAAATCGGTCTAAGCAGCGACTAGACGCCCGCAAATCAGACTTGACGTTTCTTAAAATAGGTCTAGGCGTTCAAGAAATCGGTCTAGGCAGGGAATAGACGCCCGCCAATCAGACTTGACATTTCTTAAAATAGGTCTAGGCGTTCAAGAAATCGGTCTAGGCAGCGACTAGACGCCCGCAAATCAGACTTGATGTTTCTTAAAATAGGTCTAGGCGAGTCCAAGCAAATGCTTAAACACCGTCTAGCGATTTCTTGAACATTGATCTAAACCCAAAATTTCCGATTGAAAATTCACTTTTCCGCATTAACTAAGACTCCAATAGCTAAAGTAACCATAATGACATCAAAAGGTTACAAAATCTCATCATGACATTTTATACATTGTTAACTAAAAATTGGGATCGTTTTAAGCTTCAAGAATTAAACACTACATCACAGCCATTTCTTGACAATCTTGAAGCAATGTATTATTATTCTAATAAACAATACCTTAGAAGAGCATCAGGATCAGAAGGGAACCAAGTGCTTCTCAAAGCAGCACGACGATCACCAGAATCGTAACAAGTCTGTATCCCAACGAATCCTAAAACCTTTCGTCTTTCCGACAACACTCCGAGTTTTCTCGAACCAGACACCCGTGAAGTGTCTTTAGATCCTCGGCCGCATCGATAAACGGAAGAAGGTCCCCCGAAGGAACTGATTGCGAAGATAGTTCCGGCGACTCCGATGAAAAGAGAGACGAGGGAGAAGAGTATGATAGCCACGTGGATACGAGACGAAGCAGAGCTGTGTTTGTGGCCTTTCGAGGGTTTGCTGTAGTAGGAAGGAGTTGCAGGGCCGGAGGAAGATGCGGTGGTGAAGCGGTGGGAGAAGAGTGGCATTCTCGTAAATTCTGAGGGTGGGAGAAGGGTAAGTTCGGGTTTTGCGACAAACTGGGAGGTTTTTTTTGTTTTTAGATCTGTGTGTTTTTGCTTTAGTGACGGTGGTGTGAAGTGTGGCTTTCTGATTGCGAATCTAATTATTTTCCACTTTTTATGCTTCTTTTGTTATTTCTCTTACACGACAATCTTTTTGTTATGTAATAATAATAATTTTTATTATTTGTTGGCATAAAAAGAAAGAGAGCAATGAATGCATTCACATGACAATCTATGAGATTCAAATTCATATGCTAAAAATATTATAGAAATGATGAAAAATTAAATGTCACGCAGAAAGCTAACATCTGAATGAAACAAAAGCTGTCTAACCAATTACGTATGGTAGCGGTAGAGAAATTCACACTTCCCAAATAAATTACATAGTCCCAATAACGACTTCCCGGTAGAATTCAGTCTTTTGGTAGATCAAGTATTTGATCATGTTTCACCTTAAATTTGAATTTGAATTTAAAAATCGTTGATTAGTGTAAAGCAAATTGGAAAAGTTAACTGGTCTTTAAATACCACATTGATTGATGTACACTTTCAGTTATAGTTTTATTATAGAGATTTATATCTATTTTGGTATGGCCTTTCTAGCCTCTTTGAATGAAAGTATTATCTTTTTTTTTTTTGTAACAATGAAAGTATTATCTTGCACCAGAAAAAGGTGTGTCTTTTGCATATATACAGATCTATTTTAACGATTATTTTCACACAAATAAGATATTGGTTGTAATCATAAGCTATCTTTTATATAGTTATATAACTTGTATTCCATACGATTAATAATTTGTGAGATGTGTGCAGATACATCTGTTTTACTAAAACAGAAACATTGTACTGTCCTAATATTTATTTTGTAAATTTTTAAATTGTATACATTTTTTATTTTATAGTTAAACTTACATTAAATCATTAATAGTTTGTTCTTTATATTATTATCTATTTTTCCAAACAATATACTCATTTTTATACTACTATCAATGTTTTCAAACAATACTATATTAGTCTTGTGTCCAAACAATACAAAATATTAGCTCTTATCTTTTTAATAATTTCTTATAATTTTCTTTTAAATTATTTAAATAAATTAAATAATTTTAAAATTCAAATAATTTGTAAAATAACACAAAATATGACTTAATTCGTTGGTTTCGGTGTTTTGTGATTTTTTTAAATAAGGATATTTTGAAAACTAAATCGAATGATTGGATCATTAGAGTAACTAGTTAAACTAGTCCTGGGCATACTATCTAAAATCCGAAAACCGAAACCGAAACCGGTCCGAAAATTACAAAAACCCAAACGGTTCCTATATTTTTAAATCCGAAAAACCGAAACCAAACCGTGACCGAATCTAGAACCGAACGGGTAACTGAATATTTTGAATATATTAAAAATATTAATTATTTTTAATTTTAATATATGTAAAATATAATTTATAAATAAAAATATCTAAAAAATCCGAACTACCCAAAGAACCCGAATATTTTTTGGGTTTTCCGGATTTAACTCGGGTCTTCGGGATTTTTTTCGGTTTATTGAGTTTCAAATCCGAACTAAACCCGAATTATTTGTAATACAGTTCCACTTCAGGTTTTATAAAAAAAATAGAAACCCGACCCGAACCTGACATTATCCGAACCGAACTGATCCGAAATATGTCAGGTTCCTAAATGGTTCCTAAACATCCCAACCCTAATAACCCAAAAACCGAGTAAACCGAAGCGATCCAAACCAAAAACCTGAATTTCCATGACTAAGTTAAACTATGGCCTTCTGATCAAATTTAAAAATACTAATTTAAAATGCAAAGATATTTTAAATATATTTTTTTTTTTCAAATTAACAAAATATTTTTTTAATTATCAATGAAATTTTTCATCATAAAACTAGTGGTCCGTCCGCGCTGCGCGCGGATTATCGATATTTGTATTTTTAAAATTTTTAAAATTATTTCTTGGTTTGTAATGTAATATTTTTATTGTGTTTTGTTTATGAGAATGGTCTATTATGATATCAATGTGATGGCATTAGGGTTAAATGGTGGACATTTGGAAATTATTTTAAAATTCTTGAGTCATAGATGTTATTTTTTTGTTTGACAAATTTTATTTTTTTCAGGATCAGAGATAATAGCTATGAGAATATTTTTCATAAAAAATTTATTTGAAAACAAAGTCTAACAATTTATTCTAAAAGCAAAATTAAACAGAACCGTTGGAAGAAATTGAAGAGGAACATAAATGTTCAACTTACACTGAGAAACAAAACAAATAAATCAAAAATGGAAGGAGTACGTCATCATGTTAATGGTAAGCACGTTTCCCGTATAGGCCTTCTTTTAGTTAAGGTGATCATTGAAGCCCATTATTCTTTTGTAGAACTCGGTTACCAAAAAGAAGTGGAAACAGTTGGAGCAAACCGTGATCTCCGGCCCCTGTTGAGGATGGCAGTTCTGGGGTGACCACATCTTCTTTAGTGAGGTAAGACATATATCCTTCATGTGAAATTGGAGGTGCTCAAGAGATTGATGAAAAATCGCCATACAATCTTCTAGTACTGGAATACCTTGCTCATCAGTGAATTTGTTAATGTTTTTAACCCCTAAGTCAGTTTCGCCGATGGCCATAAGGAGGACGCCGTAAACGTACCTTCCTCGGAGGTGACCACCATTTGAGGCAATGTGGATGTGATGTAGACCTGGGACTGATTTCGAGTTTCGAAGAATTCTAGCATGCCTTTAACATAGTGAGCGTCAACATTGTTCGCGTTGAGGCAGTTTTGCACCAACTTTTGTTACCGATGAGCTAGAGCAAGCTTCTTCACCAAAGGTGAGAGGTTGAGATCCTTTGCAACAAAGAAGTTCTCAGAACTGAAACTGGGGTTTTGGATGTCATAATTGTGTTAAAGTAGTCGGTGGGGGGGGGTCATAGCCTACTTTGGAAACAATTAGGAGATGCATGTCTTCGGGCATGAATTCAAGGGTGAGGGTATTATGTTGTTTTTGATTCATGAAACTCATCGGAAAATGATCGAGGTTTTTTTTTTTATTCTAACGCTGTCCTTATTAGTTTTTTTTTTGTGTTGTGCACTTGTTTATATAGGACGTTGGACACGGTGTTGATTGTAACGTCGTTTACGTTTTTAAATATAATTATTGGAAGCCATAATTTTGCGTTGAATTTCTTTGCGGTTTGATTGTTATTATTTTTGTTGTACCGTTGCATGTATCCTGAGTGGTTTGATGTGTAATTTATGGTTATTAAAAATTAACCGACCGGAATTCCTTATGATTTTGCTTGGTTTTAATACTTATAATATAATTTGAAAGGTAATTTATATGTGGGTATCGAATAAACCTTTTTTGGTTTGCTTGACATTAGATAAGTTTGTATTTGTTGCAAACACCATAGATTTGTGGAATAATTTTAAAATTATTTTGAGGTTTTGATTTACCTTTTTAGGTATTTATTATCATTATTTGAAATATCTAAATAGATGTGTATGTAACGTGGCATTGAACGCAAAAAAACTTCAAATTGCTTTAATTTTGGTGTTATAGATGATTTATGCCATTATTTGATGTGTTTCCGTTTTAACAACAAAAACTTTGAAAAAAAAATTGGGCCTCTACCACACAAAATAGCCAGCCCAAAAACAATCACAAAACCGACAAATAGAAAACCAATTAAAACTAAACCGGGAGAGATAAATTTTGTTTGGTCTATTTGGTTTAGGTTATTGGTGACATGGCTTTTTTTGCCCCCCTCACAAATGCTGATGTGGATGCATGAGAAGGGAGAAAAGCCTACTTTATTGTATAAGATATTTCCACGTTCGCAAACATATCAAAGTCTAGGAATAATAAGATGATGTCCTTTGATCTGGCAACAACACTAACCCATGTAAATATTATGTCAATTTCATTTATTATAATTTTCTAATAAATAAATGGTTATTTTATATTTGGTGTGAGAGTTGCATGAGATTAAAAAAAGGGAAAATTCCATATAAATACTCCAACTAAATTTTATTAAGCTTTTTAATACCCTAACTTTTTCAGTACCTAGTTTAATACCTCAACTAATTATTTTGTCTCCTTTAATATACAAGCTTTTATAACTATGCCCATTTTAATACCAAAACTTTGTTTATTTTAATTAACACTACTAATAAGTTTCAAACAAATTTTTTAAAAATCTATAAAATCTAAGAAAAAATATTTAAAATTTCTAAGTTTACTTGAAGATATAAGAAAGAAGGTAAAAAAACTCTAGAGAAAATTTAAATGTTTAAAAAACTTTTATTTGAAATAATTTACTTTTTATTTCAGAAAACAGACTAAAGTCAAGACATAAATTTTAAAACAATTATTACAAAACTTAAGATTATAAAAAATTTACTTAATTCCATTTCTCTAACATACAATAAAATTGATTTTCTTTTGTAAAGTTTAGAGATTTTAAAAATTTTATTGGAAACTTATTAGTATTGTTAATTAAAATAAACAAAGTTTGAATATTAAAATGGGCACATTAATAAACGTTTATGCATTAAAATGAGTAAAATAATTAGTTGGGGTATTAAACATGACAGAGAAAAATATTGGGTATTAAAAGACTTTATAAAATTTAGTTGGGATATTTATATAGAATTTTCCCTTAAAAAAATTATAGAAACAATTTCCATAAGAAAAAGAATGTGGGTTTGTGTTTCAGAAATTAGAGTAAAAATGAAATTAACATGAGCAGGATTCAAACCAGGCCGAACAAAACCCACTTAGTTTCTAGGCAGGCCCAATGACCACTACGACACTTTCAGAGTTACGCACAAGCCTACATTTGATCGCTGTGACGCGAACCCTAAAATGACAGGTGCTCTTTGCAGTAGTACAGCACAATTGTGTGAACACACTCTCAGAAATCAATAGATTGAAACCTCTCTAGTTGCAGAAATGGCGGCAGCTTTAGCCTCCAGACTCACCAAAGGTAAAAAGAACGTATTCATCTCTTACGTTTTTTCTATAGACCAACTCACTAATTCGATATTAGTTTTTATATTATTATCTTTTCGTAAAGTTAACTTCTTCCAAGAAAAACAAAATCTACCATTAGATCTTCTGAGTTTGGTCGGCATAGTAAAAAAATCCTATCTTTTAGAACATGTGTTGTTTGTCGGTTTCAAAAATCCAATATCTGAGAGCTTATCACGAACTTAGAACATCAAAGAGTCGAACTTTTTGCTGAATATGTTTCTGTGTCTTGATATGATTGATCGTAGCAGGACGTTCATTGCTTGGAGGTCTTACCAATGCTTTCTCTGGTTTGATGAGTTCATCATCAAGTGGAAGCATCCTTTCTCAGGTTAATATCTTTTGCATAATGATTAGAAACCCCGTGAATTGTATATCCCCTGATGATTGATTTCCAATTTTTGGCAGCAGCAGCAAAGGACGTTCATTCAAATGGGAACGAAACTCAAAGTCGTGGATAACTCGGGTGGAAAGGAGGTGATGTGCATTCAATCTCTAAGGGGAAAGAAAGGAGCAAGACTCGGCGATATCGTCATCGGATCGGTGAAAGAGGCTGTACCAAAAAGTGATGTAAAGAAAGGGAAAGATGCCATTCAAAAAGGCAAAGTGAAGAAAGGACAAGTCGTGTACGGTGTGGTTGTGCGTGCTGCGATGCAGAAAGGGCGTGTTGATGGAAGCCAAGTCAGGTTTGATGACAATGCCATCGTTGTTTTGGGCATTAAGGAAAAGACGAAAGTGGATGAAAATGGTAAGAAGAAAAAGCAAGAGTATAAGGGTAGTTTTTACCAACCGCTTGGTACCCGAGTGTTTGGTCCTGTCCCGCACGAGATGCGCGTCAAGAAACAGCTCAAGATCCTTTCTTTGGCTCAGCATCTTGTTTGAGACTCTGAGCTATTATTATCTCTTTATATAATGCGACTGTAATCCATCCATCAGATAGACTTCTGTTGTATTAATTAAACTACTTGACATTTTTTAGTCCCCAGTTCTGAAGTCTTTGCGGCAATTAGTTATTTTTAGAAAAAAACATTATGAAAATGGAGAGAAGACTTTCTAAGTGTTAAACCCCATTGTTTATTCTATAAATCAGTTTAAATAGCAGAAACAGTTTGATATCAATACTTTTTTGTGCAAGAGAACAGAAGACGATGATTGCTCCATTTCAGGATGTATATATACATATAAATAATAAATTACACAAAAGTATTAAGGTTAATGTGACATAAATTCCAATTACATTTTCGTTAAGACTATTTCAAATGATACCTCTCTCGATTTTAACTTCGTTTCCTCTCTAAGATTTTTGTCTAAGTTCTTCCATATCCCACTGTATCCAATAATTCTTTCCCTCTCAGTAGAAATAGTTTGCTGCAAATTCTCTTTGCTTCTCTGTTTAGTGGTTTCAAGTTCTCCTTCTAAATCACTAGTCTGACCAGTAAAAACTGTTGGACCAAATAATTGGATAGCCAAATGGACTTAACTCTTAAGAGATATTTAGTAATATTGAATGTGAAATAAGTTTTTTGGCAAAGTGAGTCTTTCTACCACAGATTACACAAGTGGAAGTTAAAAAAAAATCACATTGGAAGTTGGAAACTTTCAACTAGTATATATACACAAATAGTAAGAAGCTCAAATGGCTAAGACATTGTGTGTATTATTGATAAAGATATGGGGTTCTCCGCTACTGACTTGGTTCGGACTTGCAAAGGAAGTTACCTAGTGCTCCACTTCCGAGATTTGCGCTAGCAATGTATGTTACAAATACGCAAAGTAGCAAATCTATCATCTCCTCTTTAAATTAGTCATCTCTCCTCATTCCTTAGATGTTTTTTACATCTAAAAATCAACATAAAACTCTTCTAAGCATTTAGTCGTATTTTGTAAATTATTAGTTCGTAAAGATTGTTCATGAGAGGCGTGTGAATTTTCCTCGCGGTTTTGTCCGAATGATCGTTTACATTATTATGTGTGTACCAAGGTGAGTTGAAAGGTACCCCCAATAATCAAATATTTTTCAACTAAAACCTTGTCTCATTTACTGCTTTTTGTTTAGTAAAAAGTTAAAAAACACTGATCTCCGATGTAAAATTTATTAAATATATATATTTGTCATCTACAGTAAGATTTTTTTCTATAAAATAAGTATCGTTTCTAAAGTTTTAATTTATATAAATTTGTCGTAGAGTAAGATTTTTGCTACAAAATAAATATAATTTTTAAAGTAAAATTTATTAGTCGTATATGTTATATAAATTTTTATAATTGTCTATTGGTTAAATTATAATCAGGTGTTTGATGACATTTTTGTTTAAATAATATATGAAATTTAATATTTTAAAATAATATATAAAATTAAATATTTTTAAAAAATAAAAAGAAATAAATATTTTATAGGTTTTGTTATTATTAGGTTCTCTTTTGGTCTAGGAAAAAAAATTAGTAGCATAAAACTACAAAAATCATCAAATATTGTATTATATATCGCTGGATCTAGATTACATCATCTCCCAGATCTAACCGTCACCAGAAATTTAAAAAGAAAAAAAAAAGAAAAGAAAAGAGAGAATAAAACTAACAAAATGAGCAAACTGAGCAAAACATACAAACACATGGCACCAAACGATAACCATTTCCCATCTTCAAAGCCACCCTCCCTCCCCACCGCCCCTCCTCCTCCCCCGATCCCAAATGGATCATCAACAAACTCTAAACCCAATCCCATCCCGCCACGTCACCCCATCCGTCAACAACTATACTCCGACTCCCGCAACCAACACCAACAACAACGACGACAACAACGGTGGCAACGTCCAAGCAACCGCCGGATCTGCTGCTGCTGCTGCTTCTGGTCAATCCTCCTCCTCCTCATCACCCTCCTCATCGCCTCCCTCCTCGCAATCGGACTCTACGCCGTCTACCAGCCCCGCCCCCCGTCCTTCACCGTCGCCTCCCTCCGAATCCACCGCTTCAACCTCACCGCGTCCCCCGATTCCTCCGCCGCGCGCCTCTCCTCGCTCTTCAACTTGACGCTGATCACCAAGAACCCTAACTCTCAGTTCGTCTTCGGCTACGAGCCTCTGCTACTCTCCGTCGTGACTGATCCCGACGAGATCTTGCTCGGGAACGGGACGGTCGCGGCGTTCTCGAGCGGGGAGAAGAACGTGACGTCGTTTAGAGGAGTCGCGGTGGCGTCCACGGAGGCTCGCGAGCTTGATTTCGGCGATGGATTGGGATTGAAAACGGATTTGAAGCGGAAAAAGGGATTGGATCTGAAGGTGATGGTGGACACTAAAGTGGAGATTAGGATGGGGAAGTTGAAAAGCAAGAGAGTTGGGATTAGGGTTTCTTGCGGTGAGATTAGAGGGGAGTTACCTAAAGGTAAAGCCGTTACAGTGGCTTCCACTGATAAATCGAAGTGTAAGGTTGATCTTAGGATCAAGATCTGGAATTGGACGTTTTGATTTTTCATTGTTATACTTTCTATTTTTAGTATACAGAGTTGTTTTTTTACGGAGGGAAATATCGGATTTTGCATTTGCTGTGTATTGTTGTATACTTGAGAGAGAGTTCTGTTGTATTGTGTGTGGATGGAAGTTCACAGTTTGATGTAAGAGTTAAAGTTTTTTTTTTTTTTTATATATTGTATAATGAAAATGTCATTCTTGGTTCCCCCATGGATCATCGAAGTTCAGTTCAGTTCAATGCAGTTGTTTTTCTTCTTTCATTCTTGTGCATTTACCGGTATCAGTTCAATGCAGTTGTTTGGATCGACTATCTGTTTCCCCACGAGAAGTATGGTATGACACCAAATATCCACATAATTATGATCCCGTTTTATTTACCTCTGATAATAAAGTTCAAAACCTATTTTCCCACCAAATTAAAGTTATATTGATATTTCTCCATAATTATAAAGATCAACATAAAAAACCCACAAAATCAATTTTTATTGGTTTACTGTTTGTAAGTAAACCGTAAATCATGTTAAGCCAATGATTAATTGGATTTAAATCCAATCAGTCGAATATTTTTTTATTTTGAATGTTGGGTCGGGTTAGTGTTCTGATCCATTGGTCAGGTTTTTTATTTGTCTTGGTTTAGTTTTAGTCAATTTATTATATGAGAGTGATGATTTGAATTCGGTTTTCAGAAATTATAACTAAACCAAATTTGATGGAGAAATAGGTTTCAACTTTATTCTCAGGATTAAATAGAATGATTTCATAGTTCCATGAACATTTGGTGCTATACGATACTTCTCGTGGGGAAATAGATCGTTGATCCAAACTATTATTTCACCAATTAATTAATTAAATAAATTCTGTATAAAACCACTTTATGGTCTTAAAAAAAGTTCTGAGAAATTAATTCAATAAAATTTACAGATACTCCCTCTGTTTTAAATTAGTTAATTAAGAAACTAATTAAATATTCAAAATTAATTATAGTTACATAATATTTATTATTTATCTTAGTTTAACTAAGGGTAAAAAAGACCAATTAATATAGAAAATTATATTTAAATCATTAAATGACACTTATTTTGTGATAAAAAATTTCTTTTACAACAACATTTAATTTGAAACGGAGAAAATACTAGTTTTTGAATAACTACATATCCAGTAACTAACGATAACTGTTTTTATTTTTATTACACTTATTTTTCTTATATGCTATTAAAATTTTGAAGAAAAAAACTAAACGATACTATTCTGATTCATTAAAGATAATAACTTGCCTAACATCTGATATGTAATAAAAATGCAAAAATACATCATCTTAATAATAATAATAATTTAGAATTTATTATATCTATTTAAAAGTTAATTATTTACAACAACAAAATATATCTCAATATCAATGATTTTTGTATTTTATATAAGAGCCTAGAATTATTATTTCAAAAAATTTATCTTATTAAACCGTAATGTATAAGTCAATTTTAAATGATAATTATATAGATGAAACCCAAAAATCTAAATTAAATAACAAATCAAAATTTTGTAAAACCAAATTCTACACTCAAAAGAAAAAGCTAAGTTTAAAAAAAATAAAAATCTAAAAATCAAAACTAAAATTGTAAAAACAAAGACTACTCAAATTCAAGGTGATTCGTATTAAAATATCAATTCACTGTTATTTAACATGAATTATAAAACTTATTTAAAATCTAATGATAGTAAACTTTTGAAAAAGTACTATCAATTATGTATTGTTGAAAAACATTTAAATTGGAAATATTAAGAATTTACAGGTGATTTTGAAGTGTTTGGAGTGAAGTTTATTAGTTACAATACAAAAATCTAAATCCTATCAATTTAGATAATATTTAAGATTTGGTTATCAAAAATCATATTAAAGTATTCAAGTCACATAAAATCTTCTAAAAGCACACCAAAAATCAAACCTTTCCAAATCACCTCAAACTCTAAATTCAGTACACCCTTCTTAATTCATTTAATTAATGCATTAGAAGTATTAGAAATTGACTTGGTTGCTCACATAATGAGCATTAAACTAATCTTTAGAAGATTTTTTGTGAGAACTATTAAAAAGTTGAAAATTACTAATTATTGTTCTATGTTATTGCAGCCTTGAACATATATAATTGTTTTCTCTTATGCATTCATTAAGTTTATACATAATCAGGTTTCCTAGATAATGTTAATTAGACAAAAAACACACGGTTTATAGTCTCAACAAGGAGGAAAATATTTTCCCTTTAATTTTGGGAATATCGTAAAGTAGAAACGTAGTAGGAAAAGGTATCTAGATGACATAATAATCCTAACTATATTGGAACTCTGTCCTATTCTCACGAAGAACCTATGCTCTATATATATCAAACTTAGGGACTCAGACACTAAAAAGAACACAAGTATCCGCAACAAATACATACATGGAGGAAGATGACACTTTAGTACGAGAAGATGACCCAAAATCCCCCTGCAACATCAGTTCTGAATCATGCCGTCTTTACTTCAAGGGTTTGATCAAAGAGGAAACAACTACGGTTTTGGCAGGATATGGGGTTGCCATCTGCGACAAAGACAACAATCTGTTGTTTCAGACGAAGGGATCACTTCACGACTCGGCCACTACAGTTCTGGAGGCTGAGCTTATGGCATTGAGCCGAGGACTAATTGAAGTTGTGCGTTTAAGGATCACTCATATCGCAATTTACTGTGATTATCAAACTATTTTTGAACTGGTTAGTTTTTTTCTCCCCCTGTGGAAGGTTCACATGTCTTTATGTGTTTCCCTAATATTTTTGCAGATTATATTTATAGACGTAGGCTCCCAAATCATTGAAAAATCTTTTTTACAAAAGTTTTTAATATATGTTTATAATCTGACTTAAATATTGTAATATATGTTTTTATCTTGAACTTCTTAGGTCATGGGGAGATATGCGCTTGAGCAAGATAACATTGCCCTGCTAATGGATGATGTGCAACGCATCAGACAACAATTGAGATCTAGTGTCCCTGTTCTGGTGACTGAAGATCAAACTAAGTTTGCTTATAAACTTGCAATGGAGACTATAGTTTCTGAAGTCAGCATAAGTATCCCTCCTGCTGAGAAGATGACTTGCCCTATCTGCTTTGATGATGATTTTGAAACTCATCAGATGTTACAATATCTGAATCTTTGCTATCTCTGAAACTAAAAAAAAGACAGAAACTTAAAACTGTATAAACTTGAAACTCTATCCAAAATATAGCTTATATATCTAATATATTTATTATTTTAGGTTTAAATTGCGAAATATTGTAAAAATACTACTTAGAAATCAAACTACCAATCAAATGAATTACTCAAATATTTTTAACCAGAACATTTAAAATTGGACAATTCTCTCATACACATTTTAAATTTTTATCACAAATATAGACCTCAAAAACTAAACTAACCAAAATAGCATTTTTTTATTTTGAATTTAAAAAAAAATTGAAATTTTTTTTCCAAAACTCTACTCCTCAACTTTAAACAAACAAAATCTAGGATTAATTAACACAAAGAGTATAAGTGTATATTTACTTATTTTAATAAAACATTTAAGTTTATTTTGATCATTTTTATTTTTAAGGTTTACATTTGTGTCAAAACTTTTTTAGGTCTATTTTAAAGAATTTTTCTTTAAAATCATCTGAATTTACCCAAAAGAACTGAATTATATGAATCAAAATAGTTAAATTCATTCGAATTATCCAATATTGTATTCATAAAATTAAAAATTAAAAACTAAAAGCTGATTTTTTGACAATTATCTGGAAGACCAGAATCAAATTGGCCTCAATTTTTTTATCGAATATTTGACCAATTCATTACATTGCTATCCAAACCGAAAATAAAAGAAAAACCGAAATAATTGAACTAAACCATAATTCATAAATACAGGAACCAAAAGAAAACCTGAACCGGAACCATGTATGATGCCCTATGAAAGAGAATGAACAAGAAGCCGGAAGAAATTGGAGTAGTGGTTCTGACACCGACACTATGAAAGAGAATGAAACAAGAACACGAACTATATAGCAGGATATAAACTAAACTAGGCTAGCTCTGCGTATAACCATATTTGCAAGGACTGGCCTTAACAGTTTACTTCTTACTTAGTTTCAGCAAAGACAAGTTATCGCTAACAGACCAATTAACAGAGTTTCAGCAAACACAAGTCTTACAAAAGCATGTTCTTTAAAGTTATGTTGTAACCAGAAACTGTACGAGCCAAACTTCTCAGTAGCATCCCACAAGATTCCAAGTACATTAAGACAAACGAACGAGAGAAAAATACAAAGACCATTTTGTAGCCAGATTTCGTGTGAGATAAAAACATTTGTAGAAAAAAAACAACTGAGATGTTAATCTCATTGTCCTTGATTACCTCTAACCTGAATATTCTTAATCTCTCACCAGCCACTGATTCTAAAATTCTCTCAAAATAAAGAGTTTATTCCCAATTAAATTACCCCAGCATACACATACACGAGGCTCCTTTATTGTTTTAAGACCCTACAGGAGCCATGTCTTTACCTTTAGTTGCGGCCGTTGCAGCAGCTGCGGCGGCAGAAGCTGCAGCAGCAGCCGCTGCGGCTGCTGATGATGCAGGGCTAGGAGTTGATGGAGGAACAGACTGGCTCTGCTGTGCAACAACCTCTTGACGCTTTTTCATCTGAGGAGAGTTGAGATCAGTAAGCAATTCTTTAATCTGCTTCCCAGACATAGTTTCCTTCTCAAGCAAAGCGTTTGCAAGGGCATGCAGCTCTTTGTTGTAAACCGTGAGGATGGTTCTCGCATTGTTGTAAGCCTTCTCCAAAAGAAGTTTCACTTCACTCTCAATGAGAAGCCTCGTCTCGGTGCTCATGCTTTTCCCATTGTCATCATAGTTATGAGCCACAAGACCAACCTCTTTGCTCATACCGAATTTGGTAACCATTGCTCGAGCGAGTTTAGTTGCCTGCTCGAGATCAGAGGAAGCTCCTGAAGTCACCTCACTCTCCCCAAAGATCAACTCTTCTGCCACCCTCCCTCCCATACAAACATCAAGCCGAGCAAGCATCTGTTTCCTAGAGATACTAGTCTCATCTTTATCAGGTAGTTGAGAAACCATGCCAAGAGCCATACCACGTGGCACAATGGTTGCTTTGTGGACTGGAAGAGCACCTTCTGTGTGGATGGCCACAAGAGCATGACCACCTTCATGGAAAGCAGTTAGTTTTCTTGACTCGTCCGATATAACCGCAGACTTTCTCTCGCTTCCCATCATGATTCTGTCTTTAGCAAACTCAAGATCAGACATTGTCACATCTTTTGCACCGTCCATTGCAGCTTTCAGTGCAGCAACGTTCACCAGATTCGCCAAATCAGCTCCAGAGAATCCAGGTGTTCCTCTAGCTATGGTCATTAAATCAACATCTTCAGCCTTAAGTACCTGAATGAAACACACACACACACAATGAAGACAGTCAACAAAAGATGCTAATTAAGACCAAAACCTGAGAGCATAATCTAAAGCCACCTACCTTTGACATGTGAGACTCTAGAATCTGGCGTCGACCTTCCACATCAGGGTTAGGCACAACAATATGGCGATCAAACCTCCCAGGCCTAACCAAAGCCTTATCCAATGACTCAGGGAAATTTGTTGCAGCCACCACAATAATCCCATCGTTCTGTTTAAACCCATCCAACTCAACGAGCAACTGGTTCAGTGTCATCTTCATGTACTGCTGGTCCTTGGGGTTACGGCTTCCTCCAATAGCATCAATCTCATCGATGAAAATAATACAAGGGGAGCACTTCTTTCCAGCAGCGAAAAGATCTCTCACTCTTCTGGCTCCAACCCCAACAAACATCTCTTCAAACTCACTACCACTGCAGGAGAAGAAAGGAACTCCAGCTTCTCCGGCAATGGCCCTAGCAAGCATAGTCTTCCCTGTGCCGGGAGGTCCAACAAGCAACACACCCTTAGGAAGCTTCCCTCCTAAACGAGTGAATCTCTGTAATTAAAGAGAGAGAGAGAGAATTCATATTATGGTTACTTCATTGAAAAAGTTTATACTTTAATATTACATGATGGTTTACCTCAACGCACAAATATTACGATAAATACTTCTTTTAATTTAAAGTATCACTAAAATATAATTTAAAAAACTAATTCATTTTAATTATAAATGGAAACAATAAAAATCCAATTACATAGTTTTTGATAAAATTAGTTTTTTTTTTTAAATTTGTGCAAACATGTTATATTGTGAAGCAACAAAACATCATCTATATTGAAATGGAGTAAGAAGAGGTGTGAATTTATTTACCTTGGGGTCACGAAGATAATGCACAATTTCCTCTAGCTCAGCTTTGGCTTCATCAACACCCTTTACATCTGAAAATTTTGTGCTTGAGTCCATGCTAGGTTGCACTTCTTCTTGCAAACCGAGTCCTTAACATTTATAAACCGCAGCTAAATTAGAAACCAAAAATCATTTAAAACAGCTACTGCATCATCACAGAAATGGAATACCTTTGGTGATCCCCTTATCCTCAATAAGTGCTCCAGCACCAGAAATAAGCAAAAAACCAACAGCAATAGTCCGGAAAGTACTCCAAAGCTGTTCCTTAAAGCTACTCCTTTCAGTGGATATGGTATGTATCGGTGCAGCAGAAGTTCCAAGAACACCACCATCTTTTGCTGTTCCCTTCCCCAAGTTTCTAAACGCTGCAACATCTCCAAAACCCTGTTGCTCCTGAGAAGAAGCACCAGCGATACCTCTTTGCAACGTTCGCACGAGCTCGCTGTTATCAAGCCTATCAACTTTGACCAACGCCTTGATGTATTCGGTGAGTGCAGAGGGGTTGGCATGCATAGATGGGGTGGTTTCGAAGATTCTGATAACTGCTTCAGGATCGTTTCTGCGGACGAGTTCTCTCAGTTGTGCAACCTCGCTGAACTCATCTCTTTCACGCACTCTGCGAGCAAAGCTACCGACGTAGCTCGATTGAAACCTGGAAGAAGCTCCACCACTACCAGTAGCTACAGAAACAAGAACACCACCATTTACATCATCAATATGCATATGGAAAACAGATGAGTAAAATAAAATAAAATAAAAACCTCCAACAACTCCTCTTCTAGAAGCTCTAACAAGTAAGCTTCTCAATTCCGGTTCATGACTCGAAACCTGTCACATAGATACATATTAGTAAACTGATCAGTTAAAGCGAGAATCTTCAATAAGATGAAATTTTTATGCTTTCTCTGACTCAAGATTACACTTTTAGACAATTTCTTGGCCAAAATTTCAAATCACATCAACAAAAGTAACAATAGATACAACAGAGAAAATCTATGAGCCTCTAGGGTTTGCAAAGGGATCATCTAAATTGACCAAATCCAAAATAGAGGAAAAATCAAAAACCTTGGTGATGATTCGCCTCCAAGCCATTGATCAATCAAACTCCTTTCTCTAAATTGGTGTGATTGAATGTTCGGAAATCGAACACGAACCCTTTTCTTCTGTTCGGAAATAAAACGACTTCTTGAAACTGGCAGTCGCAGATACACGTGACACGACAATTTTGGTAAATGACATAAAAGCCATTGGTGGTATACCCAGTTATATAAAATTAGTGGGCTTTCCCTATCGGCCCACACTGGCCGAGGAAATGTCGAAGCACCTCTAGAATTAAAGGGGTGTATTCAATTGAGAGTCTGAGGTGATTTGTTTTAAGATGACAAATTCACTTTTATTTAAACATGAATTTTAAAAATTCATTTAAAGTTCAGTATTATTGAACTTGACATTTTATAAAGTATTTTGAAATTCATTGTTATTGAATATATTTTAAGTTGTGGTGATTTAAAATTTTCAAGTGATTTTAAAGTATTTGGGTGGAGTTTCTTAGTTAAAAAAATTAAGTGGGGGTTATTGGTTCTAAGATTTTATAGATTTAGAAATCCTTTTTGGATTTTGAAATTTTTGACAAATCCACACATTTTAGAATCAAATACGTAGATTTCAGAATCAATGAAATAGATTTCAAAATCAATATAATTGAATTATTAGAAATCAACGAAATGAATTGGTGATAAACGCAGATTTGTAACAAAAGAAAATATATATAAAACTACAACATATGGTTTATCATTTTCTATATCTTATGTTATTATGATAACATAAAATCTCTCACATACTTGTTATTATTGCCGTTCTCACTTGATTGGCATATTCTGTTTGTTGCTTTTCAGTTCCAGTAACTTCCTCAAGATCTTCTTCATCAAAACTTTTTTATTCAGAAAAGTTATCGATTTGTCAGAACTTTTTAAAAAGACTACACACGTAAACTAACACACAAATATTCTCTCCGTTTGTCTCTTATAAGCAAAAGGGGATGCACATTAAAAATTAAAAATTGAGATTTGAATATATCAAAAATTCTTAACATTTCTCAGAAAAACATGATGATGGTAAACAACTCTTTGTCATTTATGGAATAGAATCTCCAGAAAACATTTGTAGACCAAAACTCTTATGAGAGATCTTTGGTAAATTTTTATATTAACGTCTACATGTACGTAAAGCTAAGTTAGAGATGGTTGGTTAATATATTAGTATTTGCTTATTATTAGAGAAACATGGATAATATGTACGTAAAACTTGGGGCAAGAAAACAATTATTAAGAAAATCAATAATACACTTTCAAAATAATAAGGTTCAACTCAATATTTGCTTCTTTGTATTTTTAACTCACAAATCCACACAAATCTATTTTAAAATCAAATCATCAAGCAAATCATTATTATTGAATAACACCTGATTTTAAAATCTATTTTAAAATCATAGAACCAATAACAATGAATTTGAATATAGATTTTAAAATCATAGAACCAATAACAATGAATTTGAATAGGGATTTTAAAATCATAGAACCAATAACATTATATTTGATTTGTATTTTCAAATCCACTAAAATATACAAACCAATAATACCCTCTAAAATTCACATCCCATAGTTTTAGGTAATATTTTAGAGTAGTTTAACAAAAATCACTTAAATTTCTGTAACTTATTTAAATAATTTAAAACCTCATTAAAAAATCGAATTATCTCAAATTTTAGATTGAATACATCCCTCTAAAATTATTTAATTAGAAAAAGGTAGACGACTACAAAACTTTTTCATTATAACTGGAACCGAACCGAAAATCTAAGTCGAAATCAACTGAAAAACATCTGACCTGAAAATAAACCAATAGTTTACAAAAGTATCTTGTTGGATCTTTCTCTATTGAAAGAACCGAAATCAAAAAAAAAAAATTGACCAGATAGATCCGGTAAAGAGCCTACCATATTAAAACTGATTCATATCCCACCAAAAAAATGAATATCCAAGACTTTCACTATGTTTCTTTTTTTTGTCACTGGGCTCTGTATATATATTTTCTTATATTTTAAATTATGATTTTGTTGTAATATCTTTTTGTTTGTAATATTTATTATTATTTTTGTAACATTTTCAAATAATATAAATTTTAAATGCCAAATTTAGAGCTTAAAATGTAGGTTTATTAATAATTTATTTTGGTTATTTTACAAAACTATATATTCAAGTGATGGATTTCGTCTAAATTTTGACGAAGTTTGGGTATTTTGAATATTTTTTTAACCGTAAACACTCAAACCCGAAAATTACATGTTACAAGTATTTTAATTATAAATTTGAATCAAATCCAAACCAAATCCGAAAGAAACATATTTAAATCCAAAGCGAAATTTTAAAGTGGTTAGTTAGTTCTAAATGTTTAGTATCTGAAGAATCTAAAAGAACATGTCCTTTTTAAGTTTCAAAATCTAACTTGAATACCCAAATACCCAGACCTAATAGTTTGTTTACGTTTTTCTAAAATAGTTACGTTTTTCTTTTGGTTACACGTGAAACTCAAATATCTTGTTCAGGTTCTAAGTGGTTGATCTGAGGTTTGAGGTGTTATACTAGGACTAGTGTCAAGTAAACTTTGACCTATCTCACATTTGAGGATTCAGGTGTTATACTAGGACTAGTAGCTCTGAGTTTTTATAATCAGTAGTGTCAGCTTGATTATGGTTTAATTCTCAGCTTCAAGATTGGTGTTAAACTCAGAGCTATCAAAAAACTCTGACACTAGTGATTATAAAAACTAAGAGTTTCATGTTAAAAAATAAAAAGAAAACAACAATTTTATATTTAAATTCATGGTAACCAAAAACTCCAATGTAGTTTGAGACAAAAGAAAGAACTAATTTAACATACACAATATCTCACAACACAAAAGACAACAACAAGCTGTTGAAAACTTCCCTCAAAATGTTAAATTTTCACCCTCTCTGCTTCTCAAATCGTGTAGAAACACCAAAAGGCTTGGAGAAATTAACATAGGAAGGATCCGAGCCAGGGCTGCTGCTGCTCTTCAACTCCCCTGTAAACAATCCAGAGCTCTTCATAAACTGAAACTCATCCATAGACTGCCTGACAACATGGTTGGTCCTTCTCTTAGCCTTTGTTGATTCAGTCATACTCATGTAACTTGGCTTGTTCTGACTGCTAGAGTTGTTGTCTCCAGTGGTTCCAGAAGCAGGTGTGGTTGTCGAGGAACCGGGACTAACATTAAAGTCGTAACCAGGTGGAGGTTTTGCAGATACTCGAGTTGTCACATTGTTTCTTCGAACTTTAACAACTTCAGGTGATGACTTCAAATGTTTAGTAGGAGGTGTCGTGGTGGTGGTGGTGTCCATAAGTCTAGTCTCCCATGGTCGAGCAGCCATCCAACGCTCCAACCAACTCCATCCCCAACTATTCTTATCAAACTCTTGGCTTTTCAGATATGAGATTGAACCGTTTGTCTTAAGGTTTGAACTAGGAATTGACCTCCATTGCTACATGATTAAAAAAAAGATATTAAAATTCAGAAAACGAGCTGAATAAAAGTTTAAAAACTAACCTTTTGAGCAAGAGCATAAGCCAAAGCGCGTTCTCTTTTAAAAGCACCTTCTTGTCTCTGTTGCAACTTTGTCTTAATATCATCAACCGTTCCTTTCCTATCGCACCAACCTTCCTGAGAGTAGATATATATAAAAATAAAAAAAAACAAATAAATTAACATTTTTTTTTCAAATTCGCAACAGAGAGAGAAAAAGACAATAATGACCTCGACTTCTTTCAAGAGATCAGATTTGCTTCTATGTTCATCTAACAGCTTTTGAACAGCTTGTCCTTCCACAGTCATCCTCACACGACGAGCTCTCACACGAGCCTGAACTCGAACCAGAGCTTGCATGCACCTTAGTGTTACAGCTGCTTGTTTCCTCACTTGTCTCCCTCTCACTAATGCTTGTAGCCTCACTATCCCTTTCAACGCTCTCAACGCTCTTCTCGCCTGTTTAACAAAACAAGTCAAAATCAAATCATAAGTCAAAATTTATTTTATTCTATTAAAAAACACAAAATTGATTGTTCACTCAGTTTTATTCCACTCAGAGCTGAAAATAATGAAACTCAGTAACATTTTATTAGACATTTTAAGCAAAAAAAAAAAAACATTAACTCACCAAGAAGCCTCGAAAAGCTGTCTGGATTCTGATAGAAGCCCATTCTTCTCTAACAGCTTTGAAATCTTTAGGAGGAGCCCTGAGCACAGTTGCAACAGCTGCAGAGTAAGAAACTGAGCCTTCAGACCTATGTCTTCCCTTAAAGCCCTTCCAAGGCAACGAGGATAAATCTCCTGAAGGATTCTTCCATAGCTTCCATTTCTTGTTTTTCCCACTAATCTTTTCCTGTAACAAAAAAAAAAATTCTTAAGCTTTTATGAAATGATTTGAGAATTAAAACAACAAGTTTCTTACAGTTTCATCTTTCTCTGGCTTCTTGAGACCCATAATTGACTTAACCCATTTCCCTGAAGCACCCATCTTGTCGTAGATGCGAAAAGGTTTTTGGTTAGACAACACCTGAGATTTAATTTTTCAGGTTTAGTAGAAAGTCTGAAAGAGATAGAGAGAGAGAGTGTGTGTATGGGAGAACGTGAAATTGTGGTGGTGGTAATGGAGGGAGTGGTGGGTTAAAGAGACGTTTTTGAAATTTGAACAATTCTCAAAAATCGACAAGAAACAGGTTTATTACTATTATATTTTTTAAAGTATGCTCGACTATTTAGGCTTTTGTCTCTGATTGTGTTTCACACTTATGTGTACCTTTCTCAGAGTTGAATGCATTAGAAAAATACTAAGAAGGCACATATATATATATATATATATTTATAGATTAGGCTTTTTGTTCTTCTTTCTTTTCTATAAGACTCACTCATGTAATGGCCTGTTTTGTTTTATTGCTATTATTGTTGTATCATTGGATTCGAAATTTAAACTCCCAAAAATGTAGCTATCAGATTCAAACACATTCTCTTTTATTTTAAAGAAAAAAAAACACATTCTCTTTCAAAAGCAATGCCCTTTTGGATTTTGTGATTTGTATGAATCATGTGACATTTAACTAGAACTTCAGTAAAATGAACAAGATTGAAACCCCCGTTTATCACATAATAAATTGTTTAAAAACACTGCATATTTTTACTTAAGTGGATAGAAAATGTCTAATCTAAAATTTATCTGTTTTTCTGTCTTTTCTATTTCGCATAAAAACCATCTCCCTTTTATCAAAAAGCAACCAAATAATAGAAAATCATGCAAGAATAAACCAATATCAGAAGAAGATTGAGATAGGTTTTCACATTTTCATGAAGCTTTTCCAAATCTCTACTTTGAATCAACATATCAACATTCTTACCAAAGCTTTTCATACGGTCCCTTTCATTTTATTCTTAACCGAATTTTCATATCAAACATGTTCTTCCTTCTTGAGTGGCTAATTCGGTTTGAGGGGGAGTGTATCAATATATGAGATTAATGTATGTGTTAAATCATGTAGTTAAGTATAATTTAGCTTAGTAACTGGTTAACATTTGGTTTAGTTCCCTTTCACTAAACCGCTTTTGCATATGTACTTCATTGCTGGGCTACTGATAAGGAAAGTAGATTATATTCGATACTAATTGTAATCTCGTATATTCTGTAATTACTTCCTTCTTAATTCTCTCCAATGTATCATCTTATATATTGTACATTCCTCAGTACTAATGAAATCATCACATTCAATATCTTTATGGTATCAGAGCTCACACGATACCTAACGACCTAAATTTTTATTTTCTTCTTTCACCACAGCCGCCATGTCTGTCTCTGATAACACCTCCCCTGTCACCTCCCCTGTCGAAACCATCATCACACCACCAGGCACCCCAAATCTCCTAAACATCAAAATGGCTAATGTCTCTAAGCTTACTGCTACCAACTACCTAATGTGGAGTCTTCAAGTACGTGCATTACTTGATGGTTACGGCTTGGTAGGCCATCTTGACGGCTCTCTCCCTGTCCCCTCCGAGACGCTCACTGCTAATGGTGAGATCTCTGTTAACTCAGCCTATACAATCTGGAAACGTCAAGATCAACTCATTTACAGTGCCCTCATTGGTGCTCTATCCGTCAATGTTCAACCCATTGTCTCTCGTTCCACAACTGCGTCTCAAGTGTGGAGCACCTTGTCTGCAACCTACGCAAAGCCTAGTAGAGGCCACATCAAACAACTCAAGCAACAACTGAAGAACTAGAAGAAAGAAAAAAAAACGATTGATGTTTACCTCCAAGGTCATGTCACTCGTTTGGATCAGCTAGCCATCTTGGAAAAGGCGTTGACCATGAAGATCAAATAGATCTGATCCTTGAAGGGCTTCCTGAAGATTACAAGACTTTTGTTGATCAGATCGAGGGCCGCGACACACCACCCGCCATCACTGAACTTCATGAAAAGTTATTGAATCATGAAGCAAAGCTGCTTGCTACACCTGAGACCCTCTCCTCACCAGTTCCAGCGACTGCAAATGTTGCTCAACAAAGGAGCCACACCAAGAACAACAACAATTATACCAATCGCAAGAGGCAGAACAACAACTTCCGAAACCAATACCAGCCTCAGCCAAGGCCAGACAACCACTCTCCAAGGCCATATCTTGGTCGCTGCCAAATCTGTGGAGTCCAGGGTCAATCTGCCAAACGGTGCTCCCAACTCCTCACCTATCAGTCCTCCGCTCAACAACTACCAAGCCCTTTCAAGACCTATCAGCCTCGCGCCAACCTTGCAGCAGGATCCTCTTACACACCAGACAATTGGTTGCTGGATAGTGGTGCCACGCACCACCTCACATCTGACCTGCAAAATTTATTGTTACATTCATATTTCAATATCTTTAGCTACATCAAGACTAATGAAAATATTATTGTTACATTCATATTTCAATATCAGGTTCTTTCTTGTGATCTACTGTCAATGGTGTTGGTGACTTCTCAAGCTCCTATTACCCTTCCATCATGATGGGCAGCCAAGAATGAGTTTGAACGAGCTAGGTGACCAACTTGCAATGTAGACTAGCAGGCGAGAGTGTATGATTGACGTTGGAGAATGCCATGGAAGATAATGAAGCAAAGTTTGGATTGGACCACCAGAGGAATGTATCACTCGACTAAATGAACCATGGGATATAAGCAGCCCATAAAGATAAAAGATAGACCACCATGACTCATTTTGGTCGATTAAGGCCTCGATTGGTACATCAGATGATAAAGCAGTAGCAGTATGCTACAGAAGCTGTATGCTTTCATTAAAGTTTTTAATAAAATGATTGGCAGAGAATTAGCAGTATACGATTTTAAAATTATCATGATATTTAGTAAAATAATATATATATATATAATAAATTAATAATATATAATTTTATTAAAAATAATGAATTTCATTATATAATTATATTTAAAAATTTAAAGTTTTTTAAAAAATATTAAATTATTTTGGATATAACATATTACTCATATATAAAATTATAGTTATAATTTAATTAATTATTATTAAATTATAATTATTATTAAATAAATAAATAAACTAATTATATTTTATGTATAAATTAATTAAAATTTTTATATAAATTATTATTATTTATTTATTGGTAGAGCACTAAATTACTCATATATAAAATTATCATAAAAGTTAATATATAATTTATTTATTAGTGTTTAAATAATATGTTTATATTGATAATATATAATTTATATTATGTTATGTTTGTTATTAAAAATAATGAATGATATATGTAATTATATAAATTATATTATATTTTAAATGTGAAATATTGTTATTTTAAAAAAAATTATAATTTTTCTTTTTCTTTTTTTAAAATATAAATTTATATTTAATTATAAAAATATTGTTTATATTTTTAAATAAAAATAAATTAATTATATATAAATATTGTTAAGTTGTATATTTTCTATATGCAAATGCTCTCTCAAAAGCTCTATATGAGAGCATTGAGCAAAGAGTATTTGCAGAGCATTTGCATTTGGTAAATGTTTTTCTAAATAATTTTTTGCCAAATGTTGATTGGATAATAAAGAGCATAATACTTATGCTAATGCTCTACCAATCAACCCCTAAGACTTTAGAATGTATTAGGTTTTACTTGGATTGTACACAAATTAGTGGTGCGATTGGTTTAGACTTTAGAAACTTTTATTTTCTTAAGTCTCCAAATTTTTTTTTTAAATCAGAATTTTGAAGCTCAAAAGTCCTCATAGTTCTCTTAAAGTTTCTCACAACCCACTCTTTAATAACCCTTTTCATTATTACAAAGTTTTAAAAGTTTTAGCAACAAGTTCTTGCAAAAGCCAGCCATGACAGTTCAAACCAATCACACTCTAGGATTAGGTTTGATGTTTATAAACCAACTAGAATTATGAATTGGTTTTCTTAAACCAGTTAGAAATAGATTTTGGTTTTTATAGAATAAGATTAGGGTTTTCCTTCAGTCATGTGTTTTATTGTTTAAGCCAATGATGAAGCTCATATATAAGCAAGTACAGTAACCTTCTAATTAAAAATCAGAGCTTTGGCTTTACTTCACGTCTCCTTCGGAGACTTCTTCACCTTGTTCATATGGTAAACAAAACTATAATCTCTAGCAGTTGATTTTTCTTTGACAAGATATTGAGAGCTATCAAACGAGGTTCACTAGTAGCTGCTGAACTAAAAAAACTCGTAAGGCATTCCGCAGTCTTGTTGTGAATATCATCCACTCTCCAAGAGCTTTCAAGTGTGATTAGGACAAAGTCTTTTTATCCAACACCGACCAATATAATAGTTGTTGAAAGGTCAAATTAGTATAGCAAAAAAGACAAAAAGATAGTTTAAAGAGAACAAAAGTCCAAGTCAAGTCGTGGATGTATTGCTAAATATAAATAGAATGATGCATTCACATTTTTAATTGTTAATATTCAAACAACCAAACTTTGGGACATCATGTAACAGTTTTGTTATTTGATCAGTTTTCAGCTGGAAGATTGAAGGTTCTCTTTACTCTACAAAAAGCTGTTACGAGTCAACTAGTTAATCAACACTCTCAAAAAATAAATTTCAGTTTTCAGATCAAAGATTACACAAAGTTCTATTAATAAGAACTTCAAACCAAGGTTTCCACTACAAATACAAATTAAGAGCGAAAAAGAAATAAACTTCATTTGACATGAATTAAAGAACAAAGGATTAGAGAAATAATAAAGCCTTTTCTCACACCTTACTACTAACTTAAAACTCACAAGACTCGCGCTTATTAGTGAATCAATTTAACAGCAAAAAACACTAACAGTTGACCTGAACTCTAGGGCTTGGTATTCCCATGTATGCTAAGCGTGGAGAGACTCTTACTCTAGGACTAGGCCTTGGTGAAGGAATTGGACCGTATGGTGACGGGAAACGTGCAGAGGCAGGCGAAATACGAGGAGACATGCTGACTTGTTCGAATGCTTGTGACTGCAGCTCCATTGGATAATCTCTAACACACCCAATTCTTGGACCAACTCCACTTGTCCATTTGCAAGATAGCCTCTTCGACAGCTCGAACACCGGTCTTTGTGTGTCTTTCTCTTCTTCTTTGTCCTCTGTAATGTTTTCATTCTCTGTTTCCTCTTCTTTTGTTTCTTCTTCGTATTTAAACGACGAATATTCCTCGTTCACAGTGCACCTCTACATTCAGTTTTATAGATTAGTGAATACATACCATTCTTCAGATTTAGCATTTATTATGTGATTAACAAAAATTGTTTGGTTACCTTAACATTGGTGAGATCAACATTGTTCTCTTCCAAGAAACTAATGAATTCCTTGAAGTTGTCTTCTGTTGGTAAGTAATGTCCACTGTAAGGCCATATAGCCTCGAGAATACCATCGCGGGCGACCAATCTTCCTGCAGCGGTTGTGGCACCACCAGATAAGAAACTAGAGTGTTGGAAAACGCCTTTCTTCTTCTGACCAACGTATAAGGTTCTAGTTGTGCTCAGTACGAATATCGTCTTGGATTCCTCTGTTGAATTGATCAGAGTCATGTTCTGTTTGTACATTAGTCTCCCATCCTCCACTATCACCTCGTATGCTTCTCTCTCCATCTGAAAGTTGACAGAAGACAAACGTTTAATGTGTTTGAAGAAGGTAAACTAGTTTTTGTGGTGCAGGTGAAACCAAAAAAAAAAAACTCACAGGTCCGAGGTATTTAATGCACTGTTTTTGAAGAACACTTCTTGAGTGGTGTTCAAGATTTATGTCTTTTCCATCGCCAACGTCCAACCTTTAGTTTCAAAGTAGAAGGAGGAAAACATAGTTTAGATTTTAAACATATCCATAACAATAGAAAGAAATAAAAAAAAAGATAGATATAGGACTGACCAGTAGAAGAATGGTTGTGCACTCATGCTTGATGACCAGACATCGTAATAGAAGTGCAAGTTGTGTCCATAACGATGACGTGGGTCAATCTGTAAATGCATAATTAGATTAAACCCACAAAAAAGTTGAAGATTTGTTTCATGTCCAGAGTTATTTATAGAGAGACTTACAGCTTCTAGCCAATGCTGAAGGGCTAACTTTTGAGCTTTTTCATCTTTGGACAAGCCTTTTCCAACCTAAAATGACAAAAACAAAAGTAAAATTCATAATCGTTTCATTGTAATGAGAGATATAGTCTCGACTTGTGGTAATGATAATCAGACCTTAGCAGCTCGTGTTCTAGCACGTGCCCACTTGGAAACAGCGGTTTCATGTTTCTCCTCTTCAAAGAAGGAAACAGAACTCAATTTCAGAGCTGCAGCATCCAGAGTCTTCCACCTATCAAAACATTTTTTTTAAAACAAAAGGGTTTAGTGTCAGCAGCTGAAACACATTCATTAGCAATGAGATCATCTAAAGTGACTCACCAGAGCTCCTCAACCACAACCGCGCAATCCGCTAGGTTCCTTCTTGTCCGGTAACTCTTGTAAACCTTCTGTAGCGTAGTTGCAGCTGCGTCAAGCTCAGCGAGCGGTCTTGGGGAGAAGAACACAAAGGGCTCAGGGAGAGTAATCGTGGGTTTCGTTATCTGGATTCTCTCGCAGGTTCTTCCGTTCAAACTGTTGCGTTTAGGCTTTTTCACATCATCTACCGGCTCAGTCTTGACTTCTGTTGGAATCTCCCAGCTGTTGAAACTCAAAGACCTCTCCATACCGGCCTTTGGAGAGTTTTCGGGTGAGGCCTCACTCTTGAAACTGTTGGTTCTTGATGTCAAGCCGAAGGATCTGGTTCCAAGGAAACTCTCGACAGGGTTCTTGAAACTGAAGAGTTGGTTTGTCAAAAGTTCTTTACAAGCAGACACGAGAAGTGAAAGAGAAAGTCCCATCGCCTGCACGCACGCACGCACACACACGCATCAAATCAGATGAATATCAAACGTTGACAAACGAATCTTTAAAAGTAATCAACCAACAACTGTCATTTTTTTTTGGACTACTCCAACAACTGTCATTTATATATTATTTTTTAACACAATTATTGGTGCCGACGATAGAGATAAAATCATCTTATTCAGACATTACAACAAACTTATTAAGAAAAATCCAAACACCAGGGACAAAGCAAGAGGTTAACATAATCTAATAATCTTTCAGAAGATAATTTAATAAATAATAATCTGAATATCTCACGTACCTCAAGAATTGCAGAGATACACCAAGAACAAGAAAACTCGTTACCAAAGACTAGTCTATTTTCTCTCTCTCTATGTCTTCTACTCTATAGAGAAAACAAAACGAATACGACTTCCAAGTTGAAGAGTAATAGCTCAATATATACACAGATGGATATGCGTAGTAGTGTGTGTGTGTAGTTGACGAGTAAAAAAGACTTAAAGAAGTCTCGTTTTATAAATTGTTGAAAATGGAAAAACGCTTATAGTGAAGATTCAAAGATGGTGTGTCTGAAAAAATATTAGTTTTAAATTCATATTATCGAGACAAAGATTTCATTTTGCTTCTTTAGCCCATTGTATTGTTGTTACTTTTTCTTAACAAAATAACAAAAACATGATAGAAAACGGAGTAGAGTCACACAGGGGAACCCACAGGAGACGCAGGGTAATTCAATGGTAGCTTCGCCGAATTTATTGTTTAGAAAAGGACAATTTATTAGTCTACAGTTTTACTTTATTTGGATTTAGTAGTTTCTATCAAATCTTATCTAACTTGGCACTATAAAATGTATATCCATGCAGAATTTATGTATAACAATATTTGGATTTCCTTTCAAAGGCTTTAGGGGTTGAGTAAACAGAAAATTCCTACATGTATATATAGAAAACACCAAAATAAGTCCGATTAAATCCAAAACTTTCTTAATTCACAAACACGCGTTTTATGTCTAGTTAATATGAATAAATTCCATATTTTCATTGATCAAGTTATTTTAGATCCATAAAATTAACAGGATAAATCCATTTATACGAACAATACGATTGGCATTTAACGAGTTTAAAATGGTTTTGTCAACAAAATTATATAATTGATTGGTTATAGTTAAAAATTAAGTTGTTTTACTGATTCTTATATTTTTTTAAAAGATAATTTATCAAATATAAATTATGTATGATTTTGATACAATATGACTATATTTCAATGATCTAAAGGTTATAATCAACCAATCTATTTTTTTGAGTAAACATAATAGAAGACTACTATGTATGTGTTTAGCTTTTCTTGAATTGTATGTCTTATATTTGCTAGAGTTTTAAAACATAAATTCAAGATAAACTCAGATATAACTTAAGAATATCTGAATAAGTAAATATCATTAGGTAAATAACTTATTAATTTTTTTTGGGATTGATCAATATATAACCTTCTATAAACATTAAAAAAAAAATGGGAGTACTACATAAATCAAAAGCTAATTTTATCAGAAGTGTTAAAATCTCATACATATAAAATTCTCAACTTTAGGATAATACATTTCAATATTCAACTTTTAAACTATTTAAAACTAGAACCAATAAAATCACAAAATTTTTTTGAGTAAACAATTATAGATCTATCAAAGGTTTATTGTCAAACATTCATTTACGAACTTAATGGTTGATTTTCTACACATATAAAATGACTTGATCAACGAAAATATGAGATATATTGATATTTAACCAAAACGATTCTGTTTAAAATGATGCGTTTGTTAATTGCGATTTCTTTGGCTTTGGAAGTTAAAGATTACAACTAGTGAGGAAACAACAAGAACAACAGACACAAAGGTAACAGAGGGAACTATAACTTCTGTCTTCCACACAACGCATGGAACGGCTCTTTCAATGCTTCACCACAATAATTTACAAATGAGACTCCATATGCTTAATCGGGGACTTATGGAGGAACCCTCACATCGCAACCTTCACAAACACACTTGGTGGAGATTCAACCTTGTCAATTATCTCATGCTTATACTACGGATACATTGATGAATCGAAGTGGAGGAGATTGGTACATGTATTCATAAGCTACAACACATCTCCGTTTTTCCCTACATTTTAGTAGGGATGAGTATTTCGGTTTTGTTACGAGTTTTGTTTAGTTTATTTGGATATATAAAAAAAACTTTAAACATATTTGGCATGGACTGTTGCTTTAAACTGGCTCTAGGCTATAAAGACTTTGGCTTTTAAAATTTTTACTTTTGTCTAAATTCTGAAATTGTGGCTTTAGAAAAACAAGAACAAAATATAAGAATCTTTTTAAAAATTGATTTTAGAGACTTTACACGGAATTTTAAGTAAACTAAAGTATAAAGTCTGATTGTTTAAAATTTTGACTTTAATAACTTTACAAAACCTAAAGTTTCTAAAGCAATATCAATGGGGGCCTTAATTTAGTTTGGTTTGGATTTGGTTTGGTTCGAAAAACATTGAAAATATAGGGGGCAAAACACAATAAACCGAAAATTTGAAAAGAAAAGTGTTTCCGTTTCTCGTTGTGTTCCTCTCTCTCCGTCTTCTACTCCGTCACCGTGCGGCGCGGGAGATTACCCAAGGAAAGACCTCTCACCTCAAATCTTTAATAACCATTCAGCTCCGATTCATCGCTAACTATATTTCCGTAAGTAAATTTACACTTCTCAACTATCGAAATTTTTCTTCTGCTCTGTTTGATTGGATACTCCAAATCTCAATCTTACCACAAAAAAAATCTTGATGGTATTATCTAATTTATGAAAAATCATGATTTTTTTTTTTGGTTTTATGAAGATAGGGTGTGTGATAATGTCTTCTGGTACTAAAACCATAGAAGAGCAGGAAAACCTGATTGAAAAGCTTCAGATTTATCCGACATCTAAAGCTGGTGTTTCACCCTTTTGGCGAGGTTCTCAAAGTTTAACTCTTGAGCTGTTTTTTTTTGCAAACTGTTGTTCCTTGTACTAAAACTCTTTGTTGTCTCTCAGACAAGTATGAAAAAGATGCTAAAAAGTATTGGGATATATTTTACAAGCATCATGGAGATAGAGTAAGCCCTTTTGTTTATTTTTTAGTTAATTTCTATCCCAATTCACATGTAACTGTGTGCTAAGAATAGAACATTGGTTGATTTTTGGTGGCTGAAGATTAAAATGAATACATGTTTAATATCCCTTTCTTTCTTTGATGATATATGGCTGCTCCCTTTATTCATTTGTTTCGTTAATATGTGGTAGATATTTACACCTATTCATTTGCTTATAAAGTTTCTGCAATCGGGGATTAGCGAGAGTGAGAGTTATATTACTGTCGTTTACATGGCATTCTCTTCTTCTTCTTTTATCAGTTTTTTAAAGACCGGCACTATTTGGACAAGGAATGGAATAGCTATTTCTCTGTGAGTAGTAAAGCTAATTCTTCTGGTATCTGCTCCATTACGTATTTTAGTCCTGAGTTTGTTTTATTCTCTCTTTTTTTTCAGGCTAGTGGAGAAAAGGTCATTCTTGAGGTAATCACCAATCCTCAAGCTGTTCCTAATTTAAATGGCTAGATAAAGAGCTTTTGTAGAATAGTATTCTGAGCAATTTCGCTCTTGATTTGCAGGTTGGCTGTGGAGCTGGAAACACCATCTTCCCGTTGATTGCTACGTATCCACACATATTTGTTTATGCTTGTGATTTTTCACCACGCGCTGTTGACTTGGTCAAGGTCGGTCTTCATTCTTCGTTTTATGTTTTGCTTTTTCTTTCGTTGATTTCTCTTTGCTAGTGAGGTTAGTTATTCAGGTCTATTTAAATGGTGTACGGTTTGACGTATGTTTCACAGTTGTCTGTTTACTGGCATCTGTTGAAACTTGTTCAGAGTGAGTTATATAACTTGTTATGACATTCAGGCTCATGAAGAATACACAGAGACGCGCGTGTGTGCATTTGCTTGCGACTTGACTCGGGATGACCTTGACAAACATATTTCACCATCTTCAGTTGACATTGTGACAATGGTATTTTCATGACAAAAAATGTATTATTTTGTTATTGGTAGCTAGAAGTTTATATTCTGTGTAGATATCTTAGTTGATTGACCATCTTTTGCTCTCGTGGATTTTGTTTCTTTGAGTATATCATGTTTGAGCCTTTCCTTTCTCATCATGAACTTTTACATCTCATATATTGTGCAGATATTTGTTTTATCTGCGGTATCCCCAGAGAAGATGCCCATGGTATTGCAGAACATCAAGAAAGTACTTAAGGTATCAATTAAATTGTTCTAATCCCTAGAGAACTAGAGAAGATGCCCTTCCTTGACCATCTTATTACTCTTTTTTCAGCCGAATGGGTGTATACTCTTCCGTGACTATGCTGTTGGTGATCTTGCTCAGGTTTGATCCCTTTTAGTTATTCCAAAGTTGAGCTATCGTATTTTTTTCCATCCTTGTATAATTGAAATTCAGCAAATACACTGACCAATACATCATAAATTGTATAAATATTGGAACGTTAAGTTTTTAATTTTTTTATTTGCTACTATATTTTCATGTTTACAAGAGAATATAAAATCTGTGGTCTGGCTTGTCTTTTGGGAAGAACAATCAATGTTTATGTGTTTCAGTATATATTTAACAGGAAAGGTTTTCTGGAAAGGATCAGAAGATTAGCGACAACTATTATGTCAGAGGCGATGGCACTGTAAGTTCTTTCTTTCCTCGTCTCTTTTAAAGTATGCTTTATTTATTTTTGGCAGAACTGTGATTTATTTTACGTTCTATGCAGCGTGCATTCTACTTCTCTAATGAATTCTTAGAAACTCTGTTTGCGGAACAAGGTTTTGAAGTTGAGGAGATTGATGTTTGCTGCAAACAAGTTGAGAACCGTTCGCGAGAACTGGTCATGAATCGTCGCTGGGTCCAAGCTACTTTCCGTCTATCAAACGGCACTAAAAACTCATCTGATACTGCCAAATTGGACCAATCTGAGGAGCAAGAAAGAAAAGAGATTGTTGATAGTAGTACCGACATTGACATATCCGATGGTCTTGCAATGGAAATGTTCGGAGCCTCCCCATCTAGCCATGAGGTATGAGACTTAAGTAATCTCATTGTTTTCACATATTTTTCCAAAACTTGTTAAGTTCATCTTTTTTTTTTTTGTTTGCACAGATGAGCGAGTTTAAGCTAAGGGATTCTGTTTTCAAAATCAAACTTTTGTCCAAAGAATATCAACACACTTGCAAATCTACGGGGTTGATGCTATGGGAGTCAGCTCGGTTTATGGCCTCTGTTCTTGACAGGAACCCAAACATTGTTTCTGGAAAACGGGTGTTGGAACTGGGTTGTGGCTGCACAGGAATTTGCTCCATGGTAGCTGCCAGATCAGCTAACCTTGTAGTAGCTACCGATGCAGACACAAAGGCACTTACACTATTAACGGAGAACATCACAATGAATCTCGAATCTTCTTTACTTGGGAAACTGAAAACTGGTGTACTTGAATGGGGAAACAAAGAGCATATAGAAGGCATTAAAGGTTTAGCTTCTGGAGGATTTGAAGTTATCATTGGGACAGATGTTACCTATGTAGCTGAAGCCATTATACCATTGTTTGAAACTGCAAAGGAGTTGATTTTGCAGAAAGTGGAGGTTGTTGAGGAGAAGCCAGCATTGATTCTATGCCATGTTTTCAGAAGGGTTGATGAACCTTCTCTATTGGCAGCTGCATCTAAGTTTGGGTTCAAGCTTGTAGACAGATGGGCTATGAATTCGAGGGAGTCTCCTCTTGGGAACATCGTTGACCGTTGGTTTTATGAAAATGATTTGGTCGCGGAGATCCCGAGTTCAGCTTTGCATATTCTCTACTTTCAGATGGAGTAGCCTTGGAGATTTGATAAGCAGGTTTTTATGATTTTCTCGTCGAAATCTCAATCAATGAATTTCTATTTAATTTTCATTAAATCAGTGGATTGCGTTGACTGGTCTTGTTCTGTTATCTTGCAAGAATCTGGAGCCTATTTTAAGAGTGAGGATTACAACAGCTGAAAAAGAAGGTGCCAGTAGAATTACAAGGAATGGATATTTTGTACTGAATTTTTGAAGATTTTTGTTTTGATATAAAATTCGTATTTTACTAATATCAAGCATGAAGTTGATACATGGGATGTATCCAGTGTGCTTCAAGAGAAAGAGGTTCTAAGCATACTTTAGCCTTGCCAAATTATTTTGCATGTGTATTTGTGATTAAGAGTGGTATAACCAAATTGGGTAGCCTTCTCTCTGTTGGCATATGATAAATGGGCAGGGGATGAGTTCTGTAAATTATTATAGTTGGTGACATAACATAAATGGTCGCTTGACCATGTACTTGCTTAAAATTTAGGAGGAAAGTGATGTTTGTAATTGAGTGCCGAAAAGTAATTTACGGCACGAGGCAGAGCAGTTGCCTCAGCCTTCAGCTGTGTTCGCTGCTCCAACAAGACTGGCTCAGCCCCGGATTTACAAGAACCTTATGTACTACGATACATGTCAATCTAATTAGTGTCCACATCAAAGCATATGTTCATTCTCTTATGGAATCGCTAATTAACAATGTAAGACACTTGCCTAAAAATGCTGCTTGAAAACTTAAATCCCTTCATGATCTCAAAGAAACATCGAGACAGTGGTTCTAGATGTTCTGTACTACCTTTAACTTGTTTGAGATTTGTTCGATTACAGTGTGATTAACTGATTACACTTGTTTCTTGAAAACTATTGATGATGTGTTTCTCTGTATGTTACGATATTGTAACTTTTGACAACAATGACTCAGCGGATAACACATAGAAGACTTACAAGAGCGGAACGTTTCAAAGTTCACACAAGACGAGAAATTGAACACAGAATGTCAAGATGATGTCTTACAAGCAAATTCATGAATCATGACCCTTGATTAGCCCTTTACAGACCTTTTGAGGAAAGATTTGTAAACCCTGCCTGAATTCATATTAAGTAGACTTCATCTTTTCCCGCATCTTATATTGCAGTGTTGCAGGAGCACAATCTAGTGGTGTTTCTCCTGGTGACAGATAACAAATTATATACTTACAGCAAAACAAAAGCATTTGTTCCCATGTGGAAAGGAAAGTTTTCATTAACTATCACACTAAAAATGAAGCCTAAAATGAAGGCAGTGTACCTTGTGCATTTTTATACTCAAGGTTGGCACCATGTTCCATTAGCATCAACGCAATGTCAGTTTTGTTGAATAGAACCGCCTGTGGAAGCAAAGCATTCTGTAATTACCACGCAAATAAGTGGCAAAGAGAGAGTAGCAGGAAGATTACCAAATGAAGGACTGACATTCCCTGCTTGTCATGGTAATTTGGATCCACGCCCTGAATTTTTTTTATAGTTTTAGTCTCTCTGTATTAGTGAGTTGTGTCAATCGCATCAAGTTATCACACAATTGGACAATGATTAGTACCTCACTCAGAAGCTTTTTCACACCAGCAGTGTCACCATTCTTAATTGCTTCTCTTAATCCCTTTTTTTAACAACCAAATTAGATGAGATGGAAAATATGAATATCTCATGAAAATGAGATGTAAATAATTACCTCCCCACTGACTTCATACTCTTTCTGAGGGTTATCTGGTCTGCGAATTTCAACATACATATCAAAATAAATAGAAAGATATAGAAAAATCAGTTTAACAGAATGTTCTAATCCTAGAAGTAACAAAGAAGACCGGATGCAAATTTTCTACACAACCAATCACACATGTAATTCTAAAGTGCAAGAGCAACCATGTTGATTCTTTCTTGCACTAATCAGGTAAAATCTAAAGGCAAAATAAAATGACTAGACATACCTAGCATTGCTGCTGGAAGTGGAACCTTTACTTTTAGCTGAAGTATCATACTTCGGTTTGGGATCTGACTGAGAAAGAGTAACAGGAGCCCGTGTAGCCTGATCCCAAAAGGGAGGAACATATTAGATAAGCAAGAAGAATCTCTCATATTAGAACAGCACTCCTTAATCAAGATACATAGGCCCAAGCTACTCAACTCAATACATTTGAAATTCCTATTACCTGTGGTTTGGGTGGAGCAACACAGATGCAAAGAGGCATACCACACTTGCATTCCATTGTTTCACTCATCTCAATTTTATTATCTGCTAAGAATGCATGCAAATGAGATTCTTGCCTGTGTGAATAATAATTTGCTCTCACAAGTAGCCTGAGAAAATGTGCATATTTGATATAACACTCCTATTCATGGTAGTTTCTAAATTAAACATCGAATTTTTTCTTACTTTCCTCTCCCAAAATCAAGATTATATACTTCATCTTAATCAAAACAAATATGATATTAAAATGAAATCCAGAGTCGCAAGAGTTAAACCATTCCAAAGGGACAAACTGAACTATGAAACCAAACAATACAATCGGAGGATATGTGGATTAGCGAACCTGATGATGGTTGAGGGAGACTGAAACAGAGAGGACACACGATTCGATCTCGACAAAGACCAAGTGACGGAAATAAAACAAAACAATCCACATTTTCTTTCCCTTTAAATCTTTTTGTGGTTTTTATATTTCGGCCCCATATGTTATAATACTTGCGAATTAGTGGCCCTTAAAAGGATACTTACCACTTTGACCCCAAAAATGAATTTTTTTTTTTTTTTTGTAACAGACCCCTAAACATGATATTTAGAGCATACACATCAATTTATCCTCTCTTGATTTCATTGATTCAATTTTTTATTATTAATTTTTTTTTGACATTTTTTTTTTTAAAAAAACAGACCAATCGCGGGTCACCACATGTTGTGGAGCCTACGCTACAGTGATAAACCGGGGTCACTACAGAGAACTTGCAAGAGACAGATTCATCACTATTTCTTATTTAATATTTTTTTTATTTGAAAAACGTGTGAACTTCCATCTAAACATTTGATGGGAGTGCTCTTACTACATTATGCTTAGGGTTCATACTCTATATAGTATATTGAACTTTACTATCAGTTAAAGGGAAAGGTAAAAAATACCTTGAAGAAGATTGGGTGCATGGTTTTGAACAAGACTTACATCTTTAGTTTCTTAGATTCATGCACAAAAAAACTGAGTAGTATTTGATGTAACAAGGTTTTGATTGTATACAATTTTACATCCATTCAAAAAAAAAAAATATATTGAACTTTATGGAAGGTGCTAAATCCATTATCCATCAAAACCTTCAATTGTTATCAACTGCAACTAGTGTTTGGCTCGCTGTGTCTTGGACCTGATAAAGTCGAGAAGAATAAAGCTTCATCAGCTCCTTCTTTCCAAAAAGTCTAGTAGCATCAGCTCTTTATGAAGTCCATCTTTGATGGCCAGGAAAATGTAGCTGTGTGGATTTCAACGTGTTTGTCATGCACTATAAGATTCAAAACTAATTATAACACCAGAATACTAGAATATAACAGTTAAAAGAACTTTGCACGTTCTAAGAAACCACATTAATGTTGTCTTCTCCAACGAAATAAGAAAGGTGTAAAATTTCATAGTTTAATGAAGCCGAATTTAAGAGAAACAAAAACTGAACATGAATTGGACTTGAACCATCCATTCTTATAGAAGAAGTCTTTAGATACGAATGACCAGCAAACAACAAAGGAAGAGAGCCCAACCAAACAGTGTCTCCTTAATCTGGTTGGAATAACTAGAGTTCTTAGATGATTTAATTAAGAAGAAATAATAATTTTTGAAAATAAAATTGATCAGAGAGCAACAGGGTAACGGTCAATGCAATCAACCCAAGGATTGTTCCTTGCCGGCTTCTTCACCTTCCTCATTGCCTTCCAAACCACACTGTTACACTTAAAACCTGACCCAAAAGCAATCTGCCAAACCCTATCGCCTCTACGCACACTCTCCTTGGCCTCCATGTAAGCAAGCTCGTACCATATCCCACTGCTCGAAGTGTTTCCAAACCTGTGTAGAGTCATCTTAGAAGCCTCCATGTTCTCATCACTCAAGCCTAGATTCTTCTGAAGCTCCTCAAGCACTGTTTTGCTTGCCGCGTGGAAGCAGAAATGCTCGAAGGCCAGCTTGTAGTCCGGGATGTAGGGCTTGGACAGATCAGAGGAGGAGGAGGACGAAGAGGACTTGGCTCCGTTGATTTTGGCAGTTGCAGAGGAGGAGGTGGTAGTAGTAGTTTTGGCGGCGGGTGAGAAAGTTTTGCGGAGCAAAGCCGCAAAGAAAAGAAGCTGCTCGGAGAAAGGAAGGACGAGTGGTCCTAAGGTAGTGATGTTCGTCTTGAGAGCTTCACCTCCAACTTCCATTAAGTCTCTGCTTATTTTTAATCCCTTGAATCCTTGCTCATCTTCTTCCTGGTGCACACTCCTGATCACACCAACACAATTTACTACGTTATGATTATAGCAATGAAAGTATAACCAAAATTTAAAATAAATAAATAACAAGATATTAAAAAAAAAGTATAACCAAGATGTCAGGTTACAAAAATTAAAAAATGAATAACCTGAAGCTACGGTCGTCAGCAGCTTTGTGGGTCCGGACAATGTGCTCAAGGCGGTACTTAGCATGGCGGAAGTCACGGCGGCGGTTAGAGAGCATAACGGCGGAGCAACCCATCCTAAAGAAACAATTAGGTATAACCATAGACTTGTCACGTCCCACGTACCAATTATACCCAACCATCTCGGTACTCACTACCACCGCATAACTATTAGGGTTAGACTGAAGCATGTCACGAGCAAGATCAACGGCTATGATCCCTGCTGAGCAACCCATCCCTCCGAGGTTGTAGCTAAGTATGTTCCCTCTCATCTTGTAATGGTTAATCACCATTGCGGATAGTGACGGTGTCGGGTTAAAGATACTGCAGTTAACCACGAGGACACCTACGTCTTTTGGTTTGACACGTGTCTTCTCGAAAAGTTCGTCAAGTGCTCCGAATATCATCATCGAGGCTTCTTCGCGACCTTCTTTCATTGTTGTTATGTTTTCAGACGAAGAGATTGATCTTGGGACGTAGGTCTCGTCGCCTATGCCTGAGGCTTGAAGGATCCTCTTCTTGAATCCGAGGATCTCTTCGTTGAACTTCCCTGATTTTCTAGCTAGATCTATGAACTCTTCTCTTGTCACCTGAAACCAAATACGAATGGCATCATGTTTGGAAAATAAACATACGTATTAACGTTTTGTTAAAAAGTCACGTAAACCGGAGATAACCGAAATTGAAATAGATTTTCATTTTAATTATCAGTCCGGTTCCTATCGATCTCCTTCGTATTTGGTTTAACAAATCAAAAAAATATATGTATATGCCAAATCGGTTTTATTTGGTATTTTTTTTTGTAAACTGGCTTATTTTTTTTGGTATTTTTCACATGTACGTTTTCTCAATATTTTGCTATATTATTTGGTTTTAGATTTAACCTAACCAAGATCGATTTTCTTTTTTCTTTTTTCTTTTTTTTTTCTTGTTCAACTGATCGATAAGCTTTGTATTGGTTTGGTTATAACCTGAACTATGTTTTTTTTTTCTCTAACTAAACCGGTTATAACCTGAACTATGGTTTGGTTCAGATTCATTATTACCAACCCGGTTCGTATTGAACTCATCGATTATATGGTTGTAAAGAAATTTATGTGTTTCGAAAATAAATTATCAGACAAACCAGTTCCCATCATATAAAAGTAAGCTGAGTTTAAGACTAGTTCCTCGAAGACAAGGTTTGATGTGTGAAGACGTACCTTAAGTTCATCGGAAGGCTTGAAACAAGCGAAATCAATGAGATAAACAGATCGAGGACGAGACATGAAGTAGACACAAACGGTTAAGACAAAGACACCGAAGAAGCCGATGACTGTTGCGAGATCATAATCCCAAAGCTTCTTCCAAATCTCATCTCTGCTTAAACTCCCAACTTCGGCACTAAACACAAGCACAAGAACCGGTATGGTCGCCAAGTAAACCGCATGGTTTATGAGGTAGTGATAACCAAGTTTCACGTACTTCAAGTTTACGGACTGAAGAAAATCCGGTAGACGTCTTCGGACTCTGACCGAGAACGTTGGTGAACCGGCGTTCGGACCGGAAGGTTCGATCCCACGGTTAACAATCTCGGTAGAGAGCAGATCTTGTTCACTAGATCTACTCATTTTCTTTCTTTTTTTTTTCTTGTGTGGGGATAGGTTATTGTGAGTGAGATCTTGAGGTTGATAAAGGTATATTTTTATAAGGAGTGGTGTTGGCAAAAAATGTAAATGCGAGTTTGCGTAGTTATATTGAGAGTAATGGTGAAATTGTTGGGATTGGGTTTGGTGATAGGTGAGAGGTAGTTAATGTCGCCAACTACTTGTACTGGTCGTAGTTGGAGTGAGTTATGTCACTCTTAATTCCGTTCAAAGAAGGTGTAGTTTGGATCTTATGTTTGCATTTATTACAATCTTGTATAGTAGTATGAAAGAAGGCTAGGTGAGCACCTTTTTTTGTTGACAATTTGTCAATTTTGATTTCAGGATCACTTCTGTTACATTGATTTTTTTTTTCTTTTGCTGGGTGATTGTTACGTGCCACTGTAGGAAACATAATGATAATGAAATGATAAAATAAAAATCTAAATTAAACTGAAAATGTATGTCAAAGGCTAGGTTGTCTAACCACCTTTTTTAGAAATTTGTCAATTTTGGCTTTCGGATAAATTCTGTTTTATTCAATGTTTTAAAACTCGACTCAGACATTAAACCAGATAACTTTTTTGAGTTACCGGATTATCGGATTAAACTTATATTTTTATTTTGTATTTTAAAACTTTTTAAATAATTTGAGAACTCTTTTATTAGTAATGGACGTAAAGTCACACATGATCGATCGATTCAATTTATGTGGATCAATCAATCACGTATCAAAATCATTGAAAGCGTCGAATCGCTCGATGGATGGCTCTTAGTAAACGAAGAGATCAGTCGATCAATATGTGGGGAAAATTCTTCGTGCTGTGTTTTTGAGACCAATAATGCAACTAAGGTGTTTTGTGTTGGACCTAATGATTAGGAATGTGATATATAAAATTTTTAACAAGTTTCTTGGCAGACATCCAAAAAATCAGGAAGATACAGAAAATATCTAAAACAAAAGACGAGTCCATATATCTAGGAATGGAGGAAGCAAAAGCTCAAAACAAAAAATCAAAGAGATAGAGCTACAAGAAGAAGAGAGAGAAGAAACAAAGTTCGAATCTTTGCGTTCTAATTAAAGTGTTATTGATATTGTACTCTGCTTCTCTAATCTCCTTTGTCATGCATTCTCAAGAAGTGAAAAGACATAAAACGTATAACCTTTGCTTGTTAGTGGAAATTGTAGGTAGGTCCGGGCATTTTTATCTGAATCCGAAATACCTACCTAAACCCGGACCGGAAAAACTAAAACCGAATCTGAACCCTTATACAGAAATATCGAACCCTTATGAACTTAGTACTTTGGAGTTTGGTTATAATCCGAACCGAACCGAAATC